AGAGAGAGAGAGGGAGAGAGAGAGGGAGAGAGAGAAGGAGAGAGAGAAGGAGAGAGAGAAGGAGAGAGAGAGAAGGAGAGAGAGAGAGGGAGAGAGAGAAGGAGAGAGGAAAAGAGGAGAGAGAGGGAAAGAGAGAGAGAAGGAGAGAGAGAAGGAGAGAGAAACAAAAAAAACTTTTAATTGCTTTTTTAAAAAAAACTTCAAGGTTCATTTAAATTCAATTCTTTTGTAAAAAAATAATAATAATAATAACTCGTCGGTTACAGATGAACACGATTTGCTAACGACAAAAATGGGTAACGCGAGATCAGCAATCGATCATCCTGTCGCGATCGAAGTGTCATCGGGAGCAAATTTACATTATCATCCGGATTTGATGACTCAAATACCTTTCGACGTTAAAAATAATTTATACGGTCCATTGAACGTATTATTCGGAGCAAAATTAAATGACGTACCGCAAAAAATATTACCGCAAAGGCAAAAATTTTTTTTTTTAACTCATGAATAACAACAAACAACAATTTTTTTTTTGCAAAATCTAACAGGAAACGCGTTTTTTTTTTTTTTTTTTGTTATCACAGGGCCATTTTACAACCGTCAAACAGCATCACTGTAACTGTGACGTTACAAAAAATGACTTCACCAATCACAAATCCAATATCGAATCTTACTTTTTACGTATTCGTACAAAATAAACCGTTCACACGTTCCGCCATTGTTTCGTTATACCCACAGGTAAATTCTCTTAAAGTTTGTTTTTGTCTATTCACAATACAACAACCGACAAATTTTTTTTTTTTTTCTTTATCAGACTGATAACGATTGGACACCACCGAAAATAAATTATAAATTCAAAGGTGATTGCACTCTATATTCAGAACCACAAAATTGTGAAAAAGGATTTTGGAGTTTAGAACTTGCAGCTCAAGATGATGAATCAGGTATGACGATTAAATCTCTTGAAACAAAACGACAACAACAACAACAAATATTTAAATTGTTATGTTTTTTTTTTATTAGGCATTCTCAAAATACTATCAGAACCTTATGGTCTTCTTTTTGAACCTTATTTTATGGCAGGAACTAAAGAATTAGTCACAGCACATTACACAGCGACATGTTGTAAATCCAAAGTTGATTTTTGGGTAGAAGATGTCAAAGGAAATTTTGTTAAACAATCATTCGATGTTTTTAATCGTGAGTAAACATAAATAAATATTTCCCATGACTAATTATCTTATCTAATATTTATTATTATATAATTATAGAATCATTACTGGCTGGTGAAATAGCAGCAATTGTTGTCGGTGTTTTCTTACTCTTATTCATAATTGTCGCTGTAATCGTTGCAATTATTTTTATAAGGCAAAAAAATAAAAGAAGTTTAGTTATACCGAAAGCAAGGTCTAGTAGTTGATAACAAAAAAAAAAGTACATGTATTTTCTTTAAATGTAAATTGTTATATAAATACATTTTTTTTTTTTTTTCTGTAATGAAAATTATTTTTTTTTTTTTTTAACCTAATAAAATCAAAAGTCAAGTCATTAATTATCACTTCGTGCAATGTCATTGTTTTGTTTGTTTAAAACGAAAAAAATTTATTCGATATTGATTAACTTTTCAATATTGTTTTTCGACACTAAATAAATAAAATAAAGTTTTAAACATGTTTCATTAATGATTTTTTTTTTTTCCTAACTTGAAATTATCTAGTTAAAAAAAAGGCTAGTTACTCTTGTAACCTATTTAATTAAAGTTTTAAAAACAGGCTTTAATCTGTGAAGCGATTCATTGATTTTCACACAAAATTCTATTTTATCATAATTAATTAACCTTAGAAATTAGGACGTTATTCGTTAGATAATATCACGTAATCATTTATAAAAAAAAAAAATAAATAAATTTCTTATTGCTATCTGATTACAAACTGGTAGTACTATAATTAATTTAACTATATATAATTACTTACTGTCGTTTAAAACAGATGGGCTATCTTGAGAAACAGGGATAAGCATCGAACTTCCCTGAAAAGAATCAAAGGGAAATCCATGACTAGCTCCACTTAAAAGTGTATTTTTTAAAGGTTTTGGAGTTTCACTTTTATGTTTATCACCCATAATACTGCTTTAATATACCACGTGACGGCCACGTCTACTGCTGTAAGACTTTTGTCGAACTTTTACCAATTGCGACAATACCGACTTTTTAAATAAAAATATAAGTACCACCTTTCGGTTAAAGGTAATTTATAATTTCCGTTTAAGTAAAATAATGAACGTTTTCGATTTGATTATTTTTGCCATGCAATTAAAAATAAAAAATGTTTAAATCGAAAGCTTTATTTCTTGTATATAATCGTTTATGTTTCTCATGTGTAAAAATCAAACAAAAATTACCTTTATTTAAATTTTATCGTTTGGTTAATTCTCATTCGTTGAATACAAATAATTTATCGATAGAAAATGAATTATTAAATAAAATAATATATAATGATGTTTTATGGAAAATTAAATTGAAAAGGAAAAAGGAAGAACTCGAGAGGAAAAAAATTGAAAAAAATCAAGCACCTATTCCCATTTGTTTACAATACCTTGATGAAAAAAATGATACTCGAGAGTATATTACGAAAACTGAATCGACAGAACCGTTTTATCTACCATTTCAAGTACAAAATAAATACATTAATGAAGCTCCCATTCATGATTATTTAAGTGATGAAATACCGGATGAGATTTTAAATTTGACACCATCAGATAAGGAAGAAATAAAACCTCCAAATCAATGGAAAATAAATTGCGACAATGTAAATTATAATTTAAAAAATAATATTGTAATGATAGGAACAGCAGATCCTACAATACCTGTCAGTGATGTTCCATGTGGTGGTTGTGGAGCATTGTTACAATGTTCTGTAAGATCACATTGATTTTATTTATTAATCTGAATTATCCTTTAAAATTTTTAAGCGATAATATTATTACTCTTTGTTTTAGAGTGAGAGAGAACCAGGATTCTTACCGAAAGAATTGTTTGTAAATAAAAAAGCCAAAAAATTAAGAGGTGAAATATGTCAAAGATGTTATTTTTTAAACGAATATAATATAGCATTAGGGGTTAATGTAATGCCAGAAGAATATCAATTCATTGTAAGTCAGATAAAAAATAAAAAAGCTTTAGTTATACTCATGGTTGATCTTTTAGACTTTCCTTGCAGCATTTGGCCAGGAATCGATAAATTAATAGGTAAAGATTTGTTGTTACTATCCCGACTACGATAATATTCGAAATAGTACATTGTGTTAAATTATATTTAAAATAAAAAATTTGTAATGTTATTAACTTTACCTTAACTTCATAAATTTTTCTTTCGAACCTATAAGTTATTAATTATATAATAAAAACTTATTTGTAACGTTTCAGGAGATAATAATGTTGTTTTAGTCGGAAATAAAATTGATTTGTTTTATCAGGAAAAAAAATTTGAAACTCAAATGTTGAATTCTCTTAAAGAAGAATTAAAAAAAGAAAATTTACAATCGAAAATATTAGATATACAATTAATAAGTGCCAAAACAGGTTATGGAGTTGAAAAATTGATTAATTTCCTCGGTAAAGTCTGGGGCACAAAAGGTAAATTTTTTGCATAGAGTAAAAAAATTTATCGTAAACAGAAGCAAAACAAAAAAATACATTTATTTATTTATTCTAGGTGATATGTATCTTGTTGGATGCACCAATGTTGGAAAATCAACTTTGTTTAACATTCTTTTAAAATCGGATTTGTGTAGAATCGAAGCTGATAATAAATTACATAGAGCTACGATATCATCTTGGCCTGGTACAACATTAAATTTGTTAAAGGTTATTTATCATTTTATTTATTTATTTAATTCAAACGATTTGTGTGAATAAATAATAATAATAATTTTTTAGTTTCCAATAAAAAGATTATACGGAAAGTTAAATCGTGTACGGTTTAATAGGCTAATGAATAAAAATATTTTAAAAAGCAAAAAAAACAAAGAAAATACCGAAAAAAGTTTAGATGGAACACTAACTCAAAAAGTTCTTAAAGGTATTGTTGTTGATGTTGTTACGTCATAAATTAATAACGAATCTTTTTCTATTTACACGAAATTTCTTTCTCTCTCTCTATTTAAGATCACGTCGAAAGAACGGTTATGAGAAGGGATAATGATGATGATGATGATGATTTGGGAAGTAGAATAAGCATATTTGAATTAAATGAAAAAAAAAATATTCTACCCACGGGATTAGATCCACACGATTCTAATTTTACACGTTGTAAATGGTTTTACGATACTCCCGGAGTCGTACAAAAAAATCAATTAATTAATTTATTAACGACACAAGAATTGTCTATAACTTTACCCAAAACTGTCGTCACACCGAGAATATTTCATTTAAAATCAGGTACATCATTATTCATCGGTGGTCTGGCCAGATTAGATTTCGTTTCTGGAGTTAATAGTATATGGTGAGCAATAAACATTTACCAAAAAAAAGAAAAAAAAATTGATTCAAAAATATTAATAATAATAATTTCTTACATGTAGGTTATGCGTATTTGCGTCTAGTGAACTTCCGGTTACAATAACATCGATTGAAAATGCCGAAGACGTTTATAACACACTACTTGGAAGTAATTTATTTAAAGTGCCTTGCGGTGGGGATGATAGGTTATCAAAATGGCCGGAATTATCATCGGAAAAATTTGAAATTGTCGGAAAATATCCAGACGAAGCTTCTGCGGATGTTGTTTTATCATCGGCCGGTAATTTCACATGATTTGTTACAATAATTTAAAACGATGTAAAAAAAATTTTTATTTGTTTTTAAGGTTGGGTTTCGATCGCTTTAAAACCAGCCAATTATTGTACACTCGAAGCTTGGACACCACAAGGAAAAGGAATTTGTTTAAGAAAGGTACCCATAATTAAATCAGGGCATTTGATAAGGGGAGAAAGAATCCCGGGAACTCCAGGATATCGATTACGTCCGTTACAATTTTTAGACGAATAAAATATTTTAATTAACAAAAACAAAGTTTTTTATTTACTTATTATAATAATCCTTATAAATTTAACGACAGCAAAATTTTACATCAGCAATATTTTTATTGTAATCGTCAGCTTAAAATATTGCTTAATACGAACAAAAAAAAAATGCTGAACGTTGAGTTTGAATGTTGATTACGTAATTATCTATTAGAAAATTTTTTTTACTAAAATATTCCTCCTTAAAATGTCGTCAACGTAAAAAAAAAAAAATGGAAACATTTATGAGAAAAATATAATTTATTATCAATTTAAAATGCTATATCATCATCATCATCATCATCATCAATTTAATTATCATTAACAAAAGAAACAGAAAATGCAAAAATTAATTATTTCACGTGCTGCCTGCCCCCCCAACTTTTGTCTTTTTCCGTTATTTCGAATGGTTAAGTACTTACTTCCTCCAGCACGTACAAAAAAAAAAAATAAATGAGCGGAAGTATTAAAAAAAAAAAAAAAAATGTGGCAGTGAAAATGTTTTGTGAACGTTAAGAAATGTGCCATTGTTTGTTTACTTTGTTGTTGGTTTGTCTTTAATGTCGAAAATTTTTATGATCTTGTTTGAAACACGCGAGTATGTTTATAATTTATGCCAGTGTCATGACCGATTGTTATTGTTGGATGAATCTTAACAACCATGAAGTAGGTAAAAAGTATCTACTTTATTTAAAAAAAAAAAAAAAACAATTATTTATAAATGGATAAGTTAAACGAACCAAACGCCATTTTGTTTTTCCTTTTGATTTATTACTTTAAGTTAATAAAAAGGGGTAAAAGACACACGAGCTATGAAAAAAAAAAGAATCAATTAAAAAATAAAAAAAACTTTATAGAAATTTCTTTCTTTTTAAAAGAAAAAAAAAAGGGGGAGAGAAAAGATGAGTGACGGGTAATAAAAAGAAAAAGGGTTTTTTTTTTTAGAATAACCTTCTCCTAAAAACTTTTTTTTTTTTTTTGTATTTTTACCTTTAAAAATAAAACACCTACCTTTTTAAAATAAATCCTTGTGTTAAATTAAATTTTATTTTACGCTCTCATGAATTTCTTTTTTTATCCTCCTTACAACAAAAACAAAAAAAAAATAAAAATAAAAAACGTCTGGATTGATAATCTATAAATAGTTGTTATTCTTTTTAACCCCCATTTTGATGACGTCATCGCTACCAACATAAAATCTCAACCGCAAAACTTTCCCTCCCGCCCGCCCACTCGCTAACTCATCTTCTTTCTTTTTCTATTTCCCCGACATAAATTTTCCTTTTCGTTAAATTTTACGTTCATTATACTTATTTTAGTTTTTAGTTTCTTTTTAATTTAAAAACCGTGTAAAATTAATTTATTTAACTATCTGGAAAAATATAAATTCATATATTTATATACTCTATGATATAATTCGTTTTTTTTTTTTTACATTGGCCAGTGACCCTTTTTATACACACACGAAAATTATAAAAAAAAAAAAAAAAATTTAAATTCTCACGGTGTGTGGCCCCCCATAATATTATTTTGTAAAAAAAAAAAAAAGAATAAACGGTGATATGCGTGGGTGATTCTCTTTTAGCAGTTTTTTTTTTTTTTTTTAACCTAACAAGAAATCCATCGTAGAAAAAAAAATCAAATTAATAATAATAATAATCATGATACTCATTAGTTTTAAATTCCATAGAGAAAAAAAATTTTTTCGATGTCTTTATTGTTGTTTATTAAAAAAAAATGGGAGAAACGCCTAAAAATTGATAAGTTGTCGTCATTTTAACAATACTCGTTACAATTATCCTTCATTATTATTATTATTATCATTTTAACGAGTCGTTCGAGTATTGTTAACATTGTAAACTTTATTCTTATCTAATTCGAAAAAAAAATTTTAACGAGTACCTCTTTTCGTAACTACTTCCACGTTTTCATTTTTTTTAACCGTTATTTTATATTTGATTTAACCGTCATTTATGGGCGTTCTTTTTAATTTTCGTTTGAAAAAAAATTTAAATTTAAAAGTTTGTTAACAATTTTAAGAGATACCTACCTTATCTAAAGATACCCATGAGTGACAACGAAAATAAATGTTGACTTTTTGTTCAAATTATCAAAAAAAAAAAAAATATTCGTGTCACCAAGATGGCGGCGGTGGTGGTGGTGATGGCATACGCCATATTTAATTTACATACTCGTCATTACCTGTTAATTATTTCAAGGTTTTTTCTTTTTTAAATGAAAATTTTTGAATATTGTGTGTGTGTCAAATAATAATAATAATAACCTTTTTCCCCTTGGGTAAAGTTTACGAATACAAATCCGATCCCCTTTCATTCCTTCCCCCCAATAAAAAAAAAAAAAAATCGTTTTTTTCACCTTGTTTTTACCTTAAACGTGGTTTTAGTTAACAAATATAAATAATATTATTTACACGACGTCAATATATATTACGTCACTAACCACAAATAATCGATTTGTTAATTGTGATCGAAAGGTCGTAATATTTTATATATCTCACAACAATAAAAAAGAGAGAGAGAGAGAGAATAATTATTCAATACGCGTTTTAAATATTCGATTTCCGGAAGCTAAAACTTATTATATAAAAAATGAATATCCGGTTTTTATTTAAATAAAAAAACAGGTTCATCGTCATGAGTTTGTTGCACCTTTTAAAAATTGATGAATTTTAATATTTAACCGAAAAAAAATTTCCCCTCTTTCTCTCTCTCTCTCTCTCTAATTTAAAGTTGTTGTTGATTTTACCTAAAATGTAAAAAAATTGAATCATAATAATCGTTATTGGTAAGACCATAATTTTAAAATAAATAAATAAATGATATCATTTTTTTTTTAAATTTATTTTTATTACTCGTGAGGTTGAGTAATTTTTTTTTTTTTTTTGAAATTTAACGGGCGCCGCCGGTACGCACTTGACATAAAACAGTAAAAAATTTATTACGATGGTGGTAATAAAAATTTCCCCCCATTTTCTCCCCATTTTTTTAACCGCATTAAAAAAAAAAAAAAAATTAAACAATGCGAACGCGTCGCCAACGGATTTATTATTATTATTATTATTATTATTATTATTATTATTATTATTATTATTACCAATCCGTCTATAATTACACGTTTCATTTAAAAAGAAGGGAAAAAATTATCCACCGCCGACTCGAACGGTTTTTTTTTTCCTTTTGTGTACAAAGGAACGATATCCATATACTTTACCCCAAAACTCACGCTAATTAAATTAATTAACAAGGTTTAATTAAGATATTATCGTACTGAACAAAATGAAAGAGAGAGAGAGAGAGAGGAGAGAGAGAGAGAGAGGAGAGAGAGAGAGAGCCTTAACATTTGAAAAATTATAGAAACAAATGAATGAAGGGGACAATAAATATTAAAAAAAATTAAAATTGTCATTTTTGATTAACGCATCTCTCTCTCTCTCTCTTCCCCCCCCCCCGTCTCTCTCAAACCAACGATGTATTACTTTTTGAATATAGTAAAGTTAAAAAAAAAAATTTTTTTTTGAGGGGAAGGAAGGATGAAACTTACGTAATTAACTAATGACACGACCACGACGTATTTTAAGTTCAAACGTTTTATATTAATAATAATAATATAAGCTATTTATTTAAAATATAAAATAATAATAATAATAAAAACGAAAATTACAACGAAATGTATATAATAACATAATCAACTTTTTGCTAGTGGTAGCAGCAGCAGCAGCAACAGCAGCAAAAGTAACGGAAATAAATTTTTTTTTTAGTCACAACATAAAAAAAAAAAAAAAACATTTAACCGAATCTATGTTAATAAATATTTATTTAAATACATGTACACACATTTATTAATAATAATAATAATAATAATAAATTTATTAATGGTACTTTTTTAATTGCTTTTTTTTTTGGGGGGGGGGAAGGGATGAGAGGAAGGATTTTAATTTATTATTTAGGGGATGACTTAGTTTTGGCAGTAACGTTTCGATAAAAAAAAAATAATTTTTTTTTTTTTCCGCCGTGTACCTGAAAATTTTAAGGTTGCTATCGTATCGACCCCTTAACCTTGGAAAATTTTCCCCAATTTCACACAATCGAGATCGTATAAAAATATCGTTCGGGGGGGGGGGGGAAGGGAAGGGAAGAGGAGCACGAAAATAAAAAAACAAAAAATTAATTTTTGTTGTGTTATAAACAACAATGACGTCATCATAGTCAGCTGCTTCCACATTAAAAGAGTTACGAAAAAAAAAAATTTAATTATTAATTTGACCTTATTAGTCAATCGTTTTCGCCTTGTTAAACCTGTCATTCTAATTCAAATCTCCCTAGTGACACTTTAAAAAAAAAAAATTCATCGAGTGAAAAATAATAAAATTTTTCCACTTTTCCTAACCTCGAATCGGAAAAATTTGGAAGGGAAAATCTCGATTTTGGAAAAACCAAAACCAAAGTAAAAAAATTATAAACCATAAATCGAGGTAAAAAATATCAAATGTGTTTTAATGTAATCGATACGGTCATATGCAAATAACATTCACACACGCAAAATGATAATAATAATAATAAATCCACTTTTTCCGCTCCTGACAAAGAAAGCAACTTAATAACCTGAATGGTTTTTTGTTTGTTTTGTTTGAAATGCAAAACCGCGTAAAATGTCAAGTGGATCAAAATTCGAATCAATCGCTTTCACTTTCCATCAAAATTTTTTTTTCTTTTTCTTTTTAAAATTATTGGAAAACGCACGTGCACGCGCACGCGCACCCCTCCCCCACAAACACCTTCATCCGAAACAACAAAAACAACAACAACCAGGAAACTTTCACCAAAATTCTATCTCTCTTTTTAAACAAACAAACAAACAACGATCGCGCGCGCAAACGGGCGTGACGAACGAGATGATATACCATTGAAACAATCAATCAATCAATCAATCAATCTCTTTAGATAAGCACACGCACACTCAAAAATTTATAATAATAATAATATTTACATTTATTTCGTTTTGGAAAAAAAAAAACGTCGTTTTTAATTTTAACCGCGTGACGTGTCAAACCAAAACATAAAAATCAAGTTACCTTAAAAAACGAAAAAAAAAAGTTTTCCCGGGTGAGGGGGAAGGGAGAGGAAAAAGAAAACCTTGGGGGTAAAAATGAAGTAAACGATATAAATAAATCAATTAAAGAACGACGAAAAGTGAAAATTCAACCACCGTGAGGGGTAACGAGTTAAATACGTGTAAATATTATCATTATTATTATTTTTTTTTTTTCCGTGCGTGAAAAGCTTTGAGAAAACGTAAAATCCTTACGAAATATCCCCACCTCCCCTACCCTATCCCCCCATAAAATTTATCGATTCTTTCCACCTCCTCGTCCATATCTTTCCATTTTATTTTTAGAAACCGTTCGCGAAAAGTTTAATAATAATAATAATAATAATAATAAAAATTAAAAATAACTCGTTTGTCTATCTTGTTACAAAGATTATTCTTCAGTCTTGAATTTTCACCACACGCACATACGCACACGCACACACGCACTCACACATACGAAAAAAAAAACTAAAATAAATAAATAAATAAATAACGTCGTAGTCGTCACGGTTATTATTATTATCATTCCTTTTAAATAAATCGATACGAGTGATAAATAAATAAGAAAAAAGAAAAGCATTTTCAGCTTTTATTTATTTATTTATTAATAATTTTTTTTTTTTTTTTTACCAACGATTATTAATCCGACATATTTATCTCATTTTTATTATTTATTAATATTTATGTATTTACGACCGTGTCGGACGGTCATTTATTAAATAAACGACCGAAGGGAATGAATGAAAAATTTATTTATTAATTAATAAATTAATATTTTAATAATAAATTCAATTAACGAATTTAGTTTATTTACTTTTAAACCGCCCCCTTTCCCCCCCCCCCATATACCCCTCACTCAAATTAACACGTTGATAATAATAACACGCTCGAATCCACCGTGTGATGAGGGATCGATATATCGATCGATATTTGCAAATAAACAATAATTTAATAATAATAATAATAATTTTTCGTAAGGCAATTTTTTAAATATTCGAATGATAAAAAAAAAAAAAATAAACAAAACAAACAAGAAAACAAACAATAAAACAAACCGTTTGTTCTTTCGAATGAATTAAATGTTAAAAAAGAATCCAAGTCTATTATAAATACGATTTGCCTTGTTATTATTATTATTATTATTATTATTATTTTTAGTGTTTTATGGGTTATCATGATGTGTTTATGAGAAAGCAATGGAAAGAGGAGCTTACCAAAATCCACCGGAACTTTGTCCCCCAGGAGGATTGTGAACTCGAATTCCCGATTTAAAGACAACCTTATCTTTTTCGCCACTCACGGAAAATGTAGAACCCTGAAGATCTCTTTGACCCTCTTGTCTCATTTGTCTTCCAGTTGTGGGAGTATTTACCGGAGGTGGCGTAATTAGGGATGATAGGTATGCTGGATCTTTAGAATTATTAACTTGACCGTTGGTCGCGGGGATATCAAGTTTAGGTTTAACATTAGGTTTTTCTACTTGTGTGGGTAGAGATGTTTTCATGTCGGATACGTTAAACGAACCATTTTCTTTTTCTTTTGCATTGAGTACGTCGTACACGAAAGGACACCACGGAGTTGTTGGTACGAATTTTCCAAAACCTTGTACGGCTTTCAATTCGAATTCGTCGACGCATACTCTTCCGTTAACAATAACATATTCTGGAGCACCGTGAATTTCCGTACCTTCGAATATGTTGAAGTCGCAACCGCTGTGATGTGTGTCTTTAGATATTTTTCTAACGTGATTTGGATCCCAAATAACAATATCAGCATCCGAACCTACTGCAATGACTCCTTTTTGTGGATACAAGTTAAATATTTTGGCAGCGTTTGTGCTTGTTATTTCAACAAATCTGGGAAGATCAATTAAACCTGATTTAACACCATATTCCCAAACAATTGATATTCTTTCTTCAACTCCATTGACTCCATTTGGAATCATTGAAAAATCATTTTTACCAGTTGCTTTTTGTTCGGATGTGTATGTGCAGTGGTCACTACCTGTTAACTGTAAACCATTACTCACTAAAAATCTAACAATGGCTTCTTGAGTATCTGGATCTAATCTTAAAGGTGGACTTAAAACATGACCAGCTGCATGTTTGAAATCATCACTTTTATAATGGGTTCCATTAGTTCCTATTGCTGCTGCCAATGTTTCTCCAAAGACTACATTTCCTCGAGATCTTGCCAAAGCGACAGCTTCAGCAGCAGATCTAGACATTACATGAACAACATATAAAGGACATCCAGTTTGATTTGCTATCATGGCTGCTCTCGTGACAGCTTCTGCTTCCACATCTTCAGGTCTCGATAAAGCATGTCCTATGGGAGCAGTAACACCTGATTTCAATAATCTTTTTGTATTTTCTAAAATGATATTCCCATTTTCAGCATGCACCATTGCCAATGCTCCTATTTTCCTACATGTTTCAAATAATTCAAATAATTGGCAGTCATTTAACATTAAATCTTTGTAAGCCATGAAAAATTTAAATGAATTAATGCCAAATTCTTCTCCCATTAAAACTTCCATTTCTTTTTTCGTTCTTTCATTACAATCTTTGATTACTCCGTGAAAACTGTAATCACAACAAACTTTATCATCGGCTATATGTCGAGCTTCGTGAAACGCCTCAATCAAAGTTGTTTCTTTGTCATTAGTAAAAAAATCAATAACCATAGTCGTTCCACCAGCAATGGCAGCTTTTGTTCCCTGATAAAAATCATCAGCTTTTTTACCAAGAAAATTTGATTCGAAATGAGTATGCGGATCGATTCCTCCTGGAAAAACAAATTTTCCCTTAGCATCAATTGCTCGAGTTCCACCAGGTATAATTAAATTTCTTCCCAATTCTTTAATAACTCCATCTTCAATGTAAATATCCCCATCAGAAACTCCATCGGCGTTCACAATTTTCCCGTTTTTTATAATTAATCGATTTTGTGAACTTTGAAGATGAATGGGCACTTTTTTAACGGGAGTCGCACTCATTTTAAATAAATAAATACAAAAAAGATAAAAAAAATTTTGTAATAAAACTATATGAATATAAAAAAAAAAATTTTAAACTACTGTGCAAAAACAACTTCTAACTTCACAATAAACTTACAAAAATCGTCTGCACTCCGTTCAGCGCGTTCTCCCAGAATTTATAAATCGTGACGTATGATTGTACGTAAAGAATTATTAAATGATGGCTTTCTTTACCAATATCAATACGTCAAGTAGTTTTTCTTACTTTCTTTTTTAACACCAACAACTTTTTTAGTTTAAAAAGAGCCATCTTTATTTATTTCACCGGTGCGAAAAGAGCGATGTAATTCTTTTTTTTCAAAAAACTGTTTCGTAATACCCAAAAAATAAATTCATTACATTATATCATCATGGAGTTCTGCCTTTTTTTGTTTTTTACATCGATTTAAAAAAAAAAAATACATTAAATACATACATACATACATACATCTTTATAAAGTATACATTATCTGTATTTTATAACTCTGTAAAATAAATGATAATTTTTAATATACTGTAAGTAATTTATTTATCAGTATGTAATACAAAAATTAAAATAATTAATTTAAAAAAGAAAAATTTGCTTTATAAGTATTTTAGAAACCTTTTTTATCGTAGAAATAATATCAAAATAATTTTTTTTTTTTTTTCTATCTTTAAATTTTACCGGGAATTTAATGCTTATAATAAGATTATAAAAAATAAAAATGTATCGATTAATCAGGATCGTAAGATGAACGTTAATACTAATATAAAATCATTAAAAAAATCATCTTTTAGTATATTTTTTTAAATTATTAGTTAACATTTTTTCCTATAGATGGTGTTAATATATTATTTTAAATTCGATATGAAATTTTTAATAAACAGTTGGCAACCCTTTTTTCGCGGACGGACCCGGTATCAGAACTTATAATATTCCTCCTATATAATGTAAATAAAAATAGTCAAGATAATGACTGTCGGTTTGTACTTAATGTTAAAAAAATTTATTTGACAGGAATAATAATTTATTAAATTGAGGTATGTGGCATCATTTTTTGTAATATCACTTCCAAACAATTATTAATATTATAAATTATTTAATTAAATGAAAACTTTCGTAAAAAAAAATAAAAATAAAAATAAAATTATGTACACCTACTTGTTTTTCAATATATGTTATGTAAAATTTAAATTTAAATTCTTTTTAATTAATAATTTAATTTCGTGTTTATTAAATAAATTACGTAATAGAATTCTTTTTGAAAATTTGAATTGTAACCGTAAAATAATTCAATTAATTTTTTTTAAATTGGAAAAGAAAAAAAAAAAAATTTTGCGTGCATTTGATAATTTTAAAATTTGCAAAAAAAAAAAAAATCTAAATGAGACAATGATGTTTTTAATAGTTGGTCGTCATTACAAATATTCTTGTTTGAAATGATTGGAACGTCATAATAAACTTATAAAAGTATGTTAAACAAAAAAAAAAAATTTATATGTGTATATATTTGTATATAAAAAAAAAAAAAAAAAAACAGAAATGGAATGGGTTACTTAAGTGAAAAAACCAGATGTGTGTGACATTCTAAGCAGCTTTTATACAATTATCATATTGTAAACAAAAAGAAAATTTAAAAAAATAAAATTCTTTTTTTCAAATCATTAAATAACAATTCATATTGGGTGTAATAGTATTATGCAACAAAGTTATCATCGTTTAAAATTTAGATAACTTTTTATTTGTTGAACATAAATAATCGTATACACACACACACACACACACACACACATACATTTTGTTATATTTTTATTACTTTTTCTATTGTTTTTGATTCATAAATTACAAAAAAATTAAACTTTTTAAATAATTTTGTTTTCTTTTAAAAATTTAAAATTACAAAAAAATTTTAAGTTATGTTGCGAAAAGCGAAAAGTTATCGAAACTTCATAAATTTATTTTTAATAATAATCACACACACACACCTTTCATGTCGAACTGATAAAAAAAAAAAATGATTGAAAAGAAAAAAATTAATACTCAAATTTTAAAATTAATATTTTAATAATAAATTATTACTTAATTTATGTATTTTAACAAAGTCTTAATAACTTTTCCAAAAAAAAAAGTAGTCGAGTGAACAACTGGAAAAATATTTAATAAAATACTCGATTTTATTTTATTTTTTTTTAAATTTACAAGGTCGAATAAAATTTTTTCGAATCTATTATTATTAATTATTACAAAATTTGACAAGTTTGCATAAATTAATTAAAAAATGTTTTAACAAAATTAATTAATTATAGTTTCCATTTATGTATTATTTTTAATTGGTTTCGAATTGATATTTTAAAATGAATATTAACATGTTTTTATGTATGAATTAATTAAATCAGGTTTACTAGTTACTTGAAAACGAAAACATTTCCTCACTTTTATATTAAATATCATTTTCATTTTTATTATTTATTATTATTTAACAACAACAACAATAATAATAATAATAGTAGTAGAAATAGTATGTATGACTGTCACATTATCTGACAGAATCGTTAAAATTTTTTTTTTTATTATTCTTTACGTAATTATTATTATTTTCCCCTTTTCAAACTCACAACTTTATAAAATCATTTTCTAGAATTTTTAATTTTCCCAACATCATTATCATTATTATTAATAATTTTAAGAAAACAATTATAAAAGAAATTGAATTACAATTCGAGGGATTTTTATTATTATTATTATTATTATTATTTAAAATGTTTATTTATAAACGCCTAAGCCGTTGACATTGAACTGGTAAAAATGCTTGTGTGAAAACTTAATACAGCAACTTTTTTTTTTTTTTTTTTTTTTTTTTTTTTTTCTCTCCTTCTTCTTATTCTTTCTTCTTCATTTTTAACTTTCATTCATGGTTACGATCGTGTTGTGAATACACGTGAACTTGAAAATTACAAAAAATTATTATTATTATTATTATTACTTATTTAAATTGTAAGTTTTTTTATTATGTTTTAAATTTTATTTATTTTTTATTATAAAAGTGAAAAAATATTTAGTGTTAAAAAAAAAAAAATATTTAATTATTACCAACGTGAGTGTTTAATGTTTCTTTTTATTATTATTATTATTATTATTAATTTTCATAACGGTTTTTTTTAAAATTTAAAATCGACATAAAAGAATTATTACAAACGTATGTATTAAAAAAATATTTTCTTCTTTATTTATTGTAGTAATATAAATAATAATTTATTGATTTTTGTAAGTAAATAACGATTTATTTAATTGACAACGATTTCGAAATAATAATAATAATAATAATAATTCACGGTGTTATATAGTTTTCGATTTGAAAAATATCCGTTATTTTTTTTGTTGTTGTTGTACGTGCCATTATTCATCATTCGAATATATTATAATTATTATTAGTTAAGTTTAAAACATTCGCGATTGACATTCGTTTCGATTAATTAAACTTAAATACATAGGTCAATTCATTAAAAGACTTTCTATAATTCAAATTCGAAAAGAACGCGACGTGATCGTTAAAAAAATTTTTTTTTTTTTCATTTCTCTTCAATATTTATCAAAGCGCGTCATTTTTTTGCCGTGTCACTAACTTTTTTAACCGTTACGTTCGATCGTAACGTCTACTTGTTCTCTCTCTCTCTCTCTCTGGTTTGGAATGGCGGGATGCGATAAGTTTTTTATTCACGAATGTTTTGCAAAAAAATAAGAGTTTTATCGGCAATTTATACCTGTTTAAGTAAACCACATTGAAATTATTATTATTTATATTAGTTAATACGAAAAATATTTTAGGTAAATTAAAATAATTGGACTAAAATATATACAAGGACGATAATAATTATTGACTGGGAGCATATCAAAGGTTAGTTAGTTATTCAGTTAAGTGGAAAAACCATCATGGATGGAATCATCAATGGTTTTTTTTTTTTTTTTTTAAATTGTTTGTTATTTTATCTTAAAAACATTTATTAATATTTCGTGTATAAAAGTTTAAGTTTATTTTTTGATATCGTAGACTAGAATAATAATAATAATAATAATTTATCATTTAATATATTATCATCGATTGCGTGTTACATGGAAAAGTATCAAATTTTTAATTGAATCTATGTGTTTTATTTTTTTTTTATTGTAGCTATCGGATAAGGAAAAAATCAATAATTTGTATTAGATTTCAAAAATTCGTTAAATAACTCACACACACACACACACACACACACATTCTCTACTTAATTGGAATCGACGATAATTCATCAATGATAAAATAAGGTATATATATATATACACACACATGAATTTTCTTTCTTTTTTTTTGAATGAATAATTTTTTCTTTATTAATTTCAATAGTTTTTTTTTAATTCTTATTTTAATCGTTAGTAATTATTAACATGAGGTGATTTTCAATTTAAAAAATAATAATAATAATAATAAAGTAAGTGAATTCTATTATTAATTGTTTAATATGAAACTTGTTGATATGTAAGAGTAGAAATAATGTAAAGAACACATGATAAAAAAAAAAAAAAAAGAATTTTATTTATTTATTTTTAGTTTGTTCATTCAGGATGATGATGATGATAATAATAATAATAAGGACTTTATTGTAACTCATTGGTGGTGGTACGAAGGTCTCGGTTAATTGTTGGGAATAAAATCGGTAGACTCTCGCCTGTCAGTTGTTTATTGTACGTGCATGCATGATATTAACGATAAAAAAAAAAAACCGACAAACAAACAAACAAACAACACAAACAAAAGAGAATCGTTATATAAATTTATTATTATTATTATGGAACTAGAACGTAAAACAATTATTAGATTATGTATTTTCGAGTTCATACAATTTATATTTAATGATGGAATCGTTTGTTGTTGTTTTTTCCACGGGTTTTCTTCTAGATAAAACAAACGGTTAGCGGTACATTTTTTCCTTTTGTATTTTTTTTTTTTTAAAATTTTTTTTAAAGAAGATCGAGGTCAATAAATATAAATGAAAAATATAATAACCACGTGATTTAATGTTAGTCAAGATCACTTATCTTAACATTAAATCACAATATCATAAAAAAAAAAAAAATTTTGTGGGATTAAAAACGTTTACACAAGTTTTTTTATTATTATAATAAAGCTTTCTTCGAAATGGTTTATAAAAGAAAAAGATTGTTGATGACGATGATGAAAGGAAGAAGGCGGTGGTGGTGGGTTTTAGGTAGAAAAGGGAAGAAGACAGGGGGGATGATAAATAGGTGGTTAGGAGGTACGTTGTTAAACAAAAGGAAAGTTTTTTTTTTTTCGAACGTCCTGCATATTATATATATTATTAGGCTTAAAAAACGAATGCAATCCACAAATCGTAAATCAAATTAAAATTTTAAAGATGATAACTTTAGAAGAAGACAGAAAATTCCATCTTTGGTAATTAGTTTAATATTTAACTTCATTCGTTAATTATCAGGTTCGAGAGAGACGTCTTTCGTTCGTTCGTTCATTTATTTATTGTTTTTAACCTTTTATTTTATTATTTCTCCCATCTTTTTTTTTTTCTTTCTTATTCTTCATTTTTAAAATCTCTCTCTCTCTTTCTCTTTCTTTCTCTCTCTTTTTTTTTTTTTAGTCGTTTGCTGAAAAAATTCTATTAAGAAAACTCTGAGAAAAAATTTGGAAGAGACACGACACCCATCGAGAGAGAGAGAGAGAGAGTGTTTTTATTTTTTTTAATTTATTGTCCTCCGATTATTATTATTATTATTAATAAAATTTCTTTTGAAATTAATCATTTATGTAATCGTAATAATGTAGACTTAATGTGATATTAGGTATCAGGTACACAATACGATTATTAATAAATGTCTTTGAAGAGGTATGGTCAAGTTAAAAAAAAAAAAAAATTAATATATTCATGTTGTGTGATTTAAAATCTTCTTGAATGAATCATTTTTTTCGGGGGGTGGGGAAGGAAAAGGAAGGTTTAATCATTGTTGTTGGATTTGTGTGGTGGTTGTTGTTGTTGTTGTTGTTCTTGGTAAAAAAAAAAAAAAAAAATTAAAATTTGATGGTAAAATAACAAAGTTAGTCTTTTTCAAAAAAAATCAAACCTTGAACGCCATTAATAGTATAAGGTCGTGGATGAGTGAATGTTTTCTTGTTATATTCGTGTAATTCCAATAATAATAATAATAATAATAATAATAATAATAATAATAATAATAATAATAATAATAATAATAATAATAAGTCTAACGGAAAATTACAAGAAATCCGGGCAAAGTTTCAAAGTTTTCGAATGTCGTTTAAAAAAGGGGCCGACAACTTTTTTATAATTGACTAGGACGAATTGTGTTTATTTTTTAAATAATAATAATAATAATAATAATAAATTAAAAAAAGACTTTGTAAATGTGTTCTTTCAACAAACAATGTATTTATATATATTAAAAATAGATCAACTATCATTCTCTTCCGGTAAAAATTAATTGATTGAATTTTTGTTTTAAAAAAAAAAAAAAAAAAAAAAATGTCGGAACGGTTGTTTCATTAGGGAGATGCCAACAACTTGATTTTTTAAATTTTATTATTATTATTATTGTATATGTTACAGGAAATAAAAAGACATGAAATTTTAAAAAGGAAAGAAAAAGGAAAAGAAAAAGGAATATATATAAAAAATGGATGGGAAAAAAATTACGAGGCCAAAGAATCCGGAAGAAGAAGCAGATTTTTTATCAAAAACATTTTTTCTGTACGTTTTACTTTTACTTTTATTATTATTATTATCATTATTATTATCATCATCATTATTATTATTATATATTTTAAAATAACAAATCGTATAGAAAAAAGACGAACTTTAATCCTAAATAATTCTTGTTTTTCATTTAAAATACAAAAATATAACATCATGCAATGAATTTAATCCCTCTACTTATGTCATTCAAACATTTTTTTTTTTTTTTTTTTTTCCGAGAGAGCTTTTTCATCATCATCATTATTATTATTATTATTATTATTATTATTATTATTATTATTATTATTATTATTATTATTCGTTAAAAAGAATTTTTTTTTTTGTATTTTATCACGTACCTGACGCGATTTCTTGGTAAATTTTTTTTTTTTTTTTTTTTTTTGCGTGTTACCATTAACAAAAAAAATGTTCATCTACGTCATAAATTTTAAACTTGTTTTTTTTTGTGTTGATTATAATTTATTTGCCATAAATAATAATAATGATAATAATAATAATAATAATAATAATAATAATAATAATAATAAAATCGTTCACCCCATCGGAAAAGAAAAAGGTATTAAAAAAAGATGAAATCTTTTGACTTAAACGAAAAAAAAAATACCTTTGGGCAATGATCTTTGAAGGTTACAACTAGTTTTGCAAACGTATTTAGGTATATATGTATACCTTAAAAATTCAATAATAATAATAATAATAATTGTTATCGTTTTTCAGATGGACTGTAAATATTTTTCGCAGAGGTTTAAAAAATCCTCCTATGACGATTGACGAAGTATGCAGGCCTATGACGCAAGATTCAGCCGACAGTCTCGGGAATAGGTTGGAAGAAAAATGGATGGAAGAATTGAAAAATGCAAAAAGAAACGGGAGAGATCCCAAATTGGTTTACGCGGCATTTAAAACGTTCGGATTGGGATATGGAAGCCTGGGATTTATTCACGTAATCAACGAATTTTTAAAGTAATTCGATTACGATCCGATACCGCCTCCCCCCCCGGCAAAAAGTCCCCCTCCCCCGGGATAAAAATAAAAGGTTTAAAACAAAGCTTAATAATAATTTATTTATAGGTTAATACAACCGATATTTTTAGGACAACTACTCTCGTATTTCACGCCCTCATCGGAAATGACGCAAAAAGAAGCGCTCTTGTATGCATCCATGATGATAGGATGCATATTTTTATCATCGTTATTAGGGAATCATTATATTAAAAATAGTTTTCAATACGGGATGAGATTAAGGGTTGCCTGCTCATCTTTAATATACCGAAAGGTGCGCGTCCACGAAAACTTTTATTTTTAGATACTTTTAAAAAAAGAGAGAGAGAGAGAGAGATTGAGTGAGTGAGAAAGATGGAGTAAGATACATAATTTAAAAAAAAGAAAAAAAAAATGTTAATTAATATCGTGATAAATCTTTTCATTTACAGTCTTTAAAAATCGATAAATCGGCACTTGGAGATACAGCTTCCGGTCAAGTAGTAAACCTGTTAGCAAATGACGTCAGTCGTTTCGATTTCCTAACCGTTTTCTTACACTTTTTATGGTCTGCACCATTGAGCGCGATTGCGGTCATGTATTACATGTGGATCGAAGCCGGACCGATATCCCTCGTGGGAATTGTCGCAATACTTACAATAGTGCCTTTACAGGGTGAGATGAAAAATAAATAATAATAATAATGATTTCGTAAGAGAAAAATAATTTTCCTAATTCGTCTCGTCTGAACGCAGCATACACCGGAAAATTGTCATCGAAATTTCGTCTGCAGACAGCGTATAAAACGGACGAAAGAATTCGTTTGATGGATGAAATAATATGCGGGATACAAGTGATTAAAATGTACGCTTGGGAAAAACCATTCGCCGAAAGAATATCAAAATCTAGAAAGTAAGATTTTGGTGTGTGTCTCATTCGTATTAAAAAAAAAGAAAATTCGATGCGAAATTCGATTACTTTTCTCCCCCCCCCCAAAAAAAAAAAAAAAAATTTCCCGTTTTTCTTTTTAGGGATGAATTAGGAAAATTGATAAAATCGGCATACGTTAGAGGTTTATACATGACATTTAATTTGTTCACGACAAGATTTTCAATATTTTGTACCATGATGGCATTGAGTTTTACAGGAGGAAGTTTATCAGCGGAAAAGGTACCTTCTGAAGCAGAAGAAAAATTTAATACGGTTAAAAATTAAATTTCATTCATTCATTTTTTTTTGTTAAAGATATTTGTTTACTCAACTTATTTCGGTATGTTGAGTTTTAATCTTTCGGGAATGTGCGTGAGAGGTTTTGCTGAAATTGCAGAATGTTGGGTTTCATTCGGTCGTTTAACGGTAGGTATTTTTCATTTTATAAAATTGCTGTCGTTTTGTTTTTTTATATAATTTTCTTTTATCGTCACGTAGAAATATTTACTGTTGGACGAAATAACAAACATACCGAATGAAAAAAAAATAACGAATTTCGATAGAGTCGGTGAAATAACATTACAAAATGCATCGGCGAAATGGGACTCGACGTCACAGGAATACACATTACAAAATTTAAATTTAAATTTAAAAAAAGGAAGTTTAACGGCTGTCGTGGGACACGTGGGCGCGGGAAAGGTAAAGGTGTGATTTCTTGGAAACGGAAAAACAAACCCATTAAAAATTATCAATTATTTCAGAGTTCTCTGTTGCAAGCTCTGTTGGGTGAATTGAAATTTTCCGATGGGAAAATTTCGATATCGGGTACTCTATCGTATTGCAGTCAAGAACCTTGGGTGTTTTCATCGTCCGTGAGACAAAACATCATTTTCGGTTTGCCTTTCAATAAAACTCGTTACGCGGAAGTCGTACGAGTGTGTGCTTTAAACCACGATTTCTTTCAATTTCCCGAAGGTGATAAAACGATCGTGGGTGATAGGGGTGCATCGTTATCGGGTGGACAAAGAGCGAGAATAAATTTAGCCAGGTGAAATAACGTCAAGGATTTTCCCCCTTTCCCCCACCCCCCCGATTAATTTCGAAATTTTGTGTTTTCTTCCAGAGCTTTATATAAGGATGCTGATATTTACCTTTTGGACGATCCATTATCAGCCGTCGATGCTCACGTTTCGAATCATTTGTTTCACGAATGCATATCACAATTTTTAAAAGATAAAACGAGAATATTAGTCACTCATCAATTACAATATTTACGAAAAGCAGACTACGTCATACTTCTCGATAACGTTAGATTTTTCCCTATTGATTTTCATTCGTTGTTTGCATTTCCGTTTCCTTTAAATTATTTTTCCTTTTTCTTATTAGGGAGTCGTGAGACATCAGGGAACATTCAATTCCCTCACCAAAACCAACATCGACGTCCCGATGTTATTCGCCGAAGATGATGAAAAACGCGAGGGTGAGGAATTTGATAATGATGATGATGTTGAAAAAGAATCGAGTGGAAAAATGTTGAGAAGAATATCGAGAATGTCATCGACACATTCGACAAAAGTCAGAGCTCGAATTCGAAAGAAAATTTACTAAATAATGATAATAATGCATATCACGTGATTAATTTTTTTTTTTTTTTTACAGAGTAATAAAACAAACGATTCGATGGAAAGTTTAGATTCGATAGGACATGCGCAAACGGCTATGCCATTGGAAGACATTGAAAAAACCGTTAACATATCATTCATTGATTATTTCCTATCGGGAATAAATAAATTCACTTTATTCGTTTTATTTTCTTTTTTCCTATTGGCTCAAACGTCGGCTAGTTTGTGCGATTATTGGATGTCCGTTTGGTAAAAGCAGAAGACAAAAAAAAAAAACAATACATTTTACATCAATTGATTATAAGAATTATTAATTATCCTGTTTTGTTGTTTTAGGGCTTCACAAAGTTTTGAATTACAAAGTCAATTAGAATCATCAAATAATAATAATAATAATAATAATACGCAAGATTTAAATGAAACATTTATTGAAATATTAAATGATACGTTCGAAACAAATAAAACACAATCTTACGGTAAATTTATAACAAACAAAACGTAATTTTTTTTTCTATAATCGAATGATTTATTATTATTATTATTATTTCAGGTACCCGAAAAGAAACCATATTTAGTTCGCTGACGACGGAAACGTGTCAAATCGTTTACACATGTTTAATAATAACATTATTTTTATTGGCGTTCATACGATCGATTGTGTTTTATAACATATGCATAAAATGTTCTCAAAAACTTCACGATTTCATGTTTAATAAAGTTTGTCAAACGTATCTGTCATTTTTTCACGCGAATCCATCGGGTGAGTTTAACGAATTTTCCAGAACAAAAAAATCGATAAGAAGTCAATGGAAAAGTAATAAACAAAATGTTTTCCCCCCAGGTCGAATATTGAATCGTTTTTCAAAGGATTTAGGTTCGGCGGATGAATTTTTACCCAAAGCTTTATTAGATGCATTTCAAAATATAATGATCGGAATCGGAGCCGTCACGGTTATCCTAATCGTTCAATACATGTACATAATACCCTTGATATTGATTATGTGCGTGGGTGGTTTAGCAAGAAACGGTTTCGTCAAAACATCAACGGCGATAAAAAAAATCGAAGGAGCGAGTGAGTAAATTTTCCAACGACAACAACAACAACCCCAAAAGTCTTTGTCCCCCTTTGAAATAATATTAAAGAGAGAGAGAGAGAGTGAAATTTTCTGTCTTTTTCTAGCACGAAGTCCTGTTTTTGGTCATTTAAATACGACTCTTCAAGGTATAACAACGATAAGAGCTTACGGTGCTGAAGAAACGTTAAAAAAAGAATTTGATAATCATCAGGTACATGTTTTCCTTTTCCTTTTTTGTTTCCGGTTCAGTTCAGGTACATGTTTATTTCCGGTTGTTCTTTTAAAAAAAATCTTTTTTTCTCATCATTAGGATCTTCATACAGGTTCGATGTCCCTTTTCATAGGTGTGGGTACGGCTTTCGGTGGACTCATTGATTTATTGTGCCTTATATTAATTGCCTTCGTTACATATTTTTTACTTTTAGTTCAAACGAGTAAGTTTTAAATGTAATAAATAAATGATATGAGATAATAATGATTGATTGATTGATTGATTGATCCAAATAGATTTAACGGGTGGAGAAGTCGGTCTTGCCATAACACAAATATTAGCAATAACGGCATGGTTTCAATGGGGTATGAGACAATCAGCGGAAATATCAAATCAATTAGTTTCTGTCGAAAGAGTTTTAGAATATACGAAATTAGAAAGAGAAGAAAATTTAGAATATTCAATAACGGAAAAGGGTAAATTCAAAATGTCGGAAATGAAGATTTGAGATGCGAGCGACCGTTAGTGACCGTTAAATATTATTATTATTATTATTATTATTATTATTATTATTATTATTATTTACAGAAGTTGGAGAACAATGGCCGACTCACGGTGGAATAGAATTTAAAAACGTTTATCTTCATTACGGTTCTATAAAAAAAAGTCCAGCGTTGAAAAATTTAACGATAACCGTTTTGGCGGGAGAAAAAGTAATTTAAATAAATTTATTTGAAATATTTGATCACGTGACGATAAATACGATGGATGATGGAAAATTTACTCGCAGGTCGGAATCGTCGGAAGGACGGGAGCTGGAAAATCGTCCATCATATCCGCACTTTTTCGTTTGGCCATAGTCGAAGGTTCCATAGAGATCGATGGGGTGGACACGTCCAAAGTTTCGTTGCAAAGGTTACGTAGAAGCATTTCAATCATACCGCAAGAACCCACCCTTTTCACCGGAACGATAAGAAAAAATCTCGATCCGTTCGAGGTAAATCGATGGATCGATCCATCGATCGATGAATCGGTAAATCGATTAACGGTTTGTTCTTTTTTGTAGAATTATTCGGATGCTATGCTTTGGCAAGCGTTGGAAGAAGTCGAACTTAAAGACGCTTTACTTAACGGTTTAAATAGCGTGGTTTTAGAAAAGGGTAATAATTTTTCCGTTGGACAAAAACAACTCGTTTGCTTAGCGCGCGCTCTATTGAGAAAAAATAAAATTTTGCTGTTGGATGAAGCAACGGCAAACGTGGATCAGCGGTGAGTTTACAAGAAGAAGAAGAAAAAACAAAATTTTTTATTTTTACTTTCTTTTTTCTTTTATTTCAGAACGGATGGTTTAATACAACAAACAATAAGAAATAAATTTGCGGATTGTACCGTTTTTACAATTGCTCACAGATTAAATACCGTCATGGATTGCGATAGATTATTAGTTATGAATGATGGAACCGCTGTCGTGAGTAATTCTAATCATAATAATAATAATAATAATAATAATAATAATAATAATAAATTCATTATAATTTCAATTCTCTTTTTCAAGGAATTTGATAAACCGTTGAATCTCCTTAAAAAAGAAAACGGTTACTTAAATAAAATGGTTCAAGAAACTGGGGCATCAATGGCGGAACAATTAAGAAACATGGCGGCGGAATCATCGAATAATAAAAAATGATTATAATAAGATTAATTAAATTTTAATAATAATGATAATGATAAAAGTTCGTTACCGAGTCATATGTTGTTACGCTTAAAAAAACATATATTTAATAATAATAATAATGATAATGATAATAATGTTTATACGTTTTCTTACCCGAAAATTTATCAAATGGACGGTTTTTTTTTTTTTTTAAAAAAAAAATGTTTTAATATAAATAAAAAGCATTTATTATAAGGTAAACATAAATAAATAAATTCTATTTATATTCCTCTACTACTAGTATCTTTATTTATCCATCGTTACGTTTTAACATCATCATTTGATTATCGTTCGACACGTCATCATCATCCAAATTTAATATAATTTTTAAATTATTAAACGAATTACATTGTTTACATAAATTAAATAATATGGTCGCTTCCTCGTGATTCAAATCCATAATTTTATGCATAATTGATAAACCTTTGGTGATTAAAAGTGGACCACAATCGGGTATCCATTGCCTGGAAAAATAAAACGTGAAGTAAAACTTGGGGTAAATCGTGGAAGAAGCAGAAGCAGAAGACGAAAAATGATGATCATTTAAAACTCACTCTAACGTTTCAATAACGAATTTATAACGACTTTTTTGTAACAACTTAAGAAAAAAATAATATGTTCTTATGTCATCATCTGATATTTTTTCACTCCTGTCTTTCCTCGAACTTATCCTTAAAAAATGCATGTTTTCATCGTTTTGATACGAAGGAGGATAAAATGAATTTCTTGAATATGTTTTTATGTATTCAATATTGAAAAATAAATGAAACATGCAATAGGTTCCAAATCGAACATATGATCTTTTGTAAAATTTAAAATTCTGTAATCATCATCATTATTATTATTATTATTATCAGGTACTACCTGTAAATATGTTTATCGATGAATGTTTTTACATACATTGTAAACATTTTGACCCACAATTAAATATAATTCAATATCGTTTAAATTATTATGTAATTCTCTGTAAACTATTGCTTTAACAAATTGAGAAACGAATAAAAAATCAGGGGTCACGCCTAAAACTGCATATTTTTCTCCTAAAACACAAAAAATAAATGCTTATTCGATTAAAAAGAAAAGTGGAGGGGGGGGGCGTGTGGGGGTGGGAAGGTTTTCAACACTTACCCTTTCCCAATTTCAATTCATTTAACAAATCTAAAAAAACATTCGCTTTTTTCCATGTTCCAAAAAAATTCTTATTTCTTTTCATTACATGATTTCTGTCTTCATTTTGATTTATCAAATCGTTTAATATTTCTAATTGACAATTATTTTCTTGCAGTATTACCAACTTATCGATATTTTTTTTTAATAAGTGATATGTTATCAATCCGCAACCTGGATTCGTTTCGAATATGACATATTTATTCCCTTTGATAAGTTTTAAAAATGTTTTTGCTATATTTTCTGTAAATGTTATTATTAATAAGTTTCAATCTTTATGTAAAATTTATCTCCATCATTATTTAAATAATTTTTAAACTCACCAGCGACATTGTAATCGACAGGAAAACAATATGTACAATAACCACACGGTTTGACTAATTTATGTAATCTGCTCATGCATTTAGGTGTAAATTTAACTTGTGAAATTTTTTGACAACTTTTCAACATGACATTTATAACTTTTTTTTTATCATTATCAGTTATTTTTGATTTTATTTTTTTAACAAGTGATAATTTATCATCTGGTAAAGGTGATAACGATGGTGCCAACGATAAATATTTATTACAGTAAAAATTTTTGTAATTTTTTATTATGGAATTCACAAACAAAACTTTTCTCATTTTTGTATCAACTGGACATTTTTTTTTTTTCAACTCTTCAACTCTATTTTTACCTTTGATTAATACTACCACTGAACAAACTTTAACGACGTAATAATAATAATAATAATAATATTAACGACTCTCTGTTATTATTGCACGAAACAGGTCATTTATAAAAAATTGTAAATTTCGTAAACGATTTAAATTACGACGAGTTAAATATTCAATAACACAAATATATTTATTTAAATTAATAAATAACGATAATCGCGAGCAAATTTAATAAATATTAAATTATTTTATTTTTATTACAACGCACGAGACGATAAAAAATTTTAACGAAATTTTCGATTCGAATCCCATGCTTACTACGAACACGATCACGATCACGATCGCAAACGGTTTATTTATTTATGATTGTAAATTTGGCAACGTCGAATTGTTGACACGATAAAAACGTTATTTTTAAAAAATTGAATTTTGTTTTAATTAGCGTGTATGTATATAAATATTGATTTATTATTAATTCGTTCGAGGATTTAAAATAAGTTACGAAGGAAAAAAAAATAATTAATAAACATGGAACGAATTAAAAAATGAATGAACCTTTTCAATTAGTTACGAATTCCACTTTCAAAGGAAAAGATTATCTAATAAAAATGTGCATATTAAATTCAAAAAAATTAGAACTCATCGTTACCGATAAACTTATGGGAGAGGATTGGCATTGCGAATATGATTCTTCTTGTAAGTTCCCCCCCCCCGATTCCCCCCTTCTCCCCCCTTTTTGATTCGAAAAAAACGTTAATTTAAATTTTATAGATATCGAAGCATTAACGCATAAAACTGGAAATTATAAACAATTCGATGTATTTATTATAATGCTTAAATCTGGGCTTCTCAAGGTAACGCAAAATAATTAATTTTATTATTATTATTATTATTATTATTATTACATTTGAAAATGTTATTAGACGAGCGAATGCATTAGCCTGGATTTACTTACGATTGAAGATTTAGAAGAATTAAGAAATAAAAAAATAATAAATTCATATACCACAACATCATCATCTAGAACAAATCATAATTTAAATTTAAATAAAAGATATTTAATATTAACGTATTCCGTTGAATTTGACAGGTAAGGTATAGGTACATGATTTTTTCCTTTTTAATCTGTATATATATGTACCTACTCAGGTTTAAATTTGTATTTTATGTTTTAAAAAAAAAAAAAAAAATGAAGAATACATTATCCGCTGCCGTTAGACTATTGTGGTCCACCCAATCCGAGCATATTACAAAATAATATAAGAAGATTAGAAGGAGAAATTGAAAGGCTCAAACAAATAAATATAAATTTATGTAAATCAGATGAAAATGAAACGAAAAAACTTTATGAAAAGTATTTACAAACATAATCATCATCAACACATAAATTAATAACAAACCTGATATGTTGTTGTTGTTGTTGTTGTTATTGTTACAGGATTAAAATTTTAACCGATGAAAATGTATATTTAACAAATGAAAATCATAGATTAAATAAATTACTAAATAGAAAAGAATGTCCGCGTAAAACGACCATGCAAACATTACATAATTCGTTGAAAAAATTAGAAGAAAAAGTTATTTACGAAAGGAATAATAATTATAAATCCTTGATTAAATTAAGAGGAGAAAATCGTCGATTGATGCAACAAGCAAGTTTGAAAAAAGAAATTATTATTTATTATTTAAATATGGCGGCGGATTATTTATTTATTTTTGACTTTGTTACAGTTAGAAGATTATAAAAATCGAGAAAAAAATTTAAAGGTAAAATTAAGAGATGCAACGAGACAAAATATATATAGAGGTTGTAAAAGGAATTATAAAAATTATTTAACACCGGATAATTCACCAGATAGGAAAAAAAGTTCTGAACGTTCAGAAACTATGTATCAACCTTTTCACAAAGGAAAAACTAGTCCCACGACGGATGTAAAGTACGTTTTTAAAATTGTAATAATGATTGGGAAAAATTTTATATTGTATAGTATCGAATTTTTTCAGATGTAAAAAAATAGAAACGTTTAGAAAAGTTCGTAATAGATTTTTAAGCAGTAGCAGTTCAGAATCTGGTTCCACGAGATTTTCAAGAGTAAGACAAAGAGAAACGACGACATTATCTCCCGGTGGACCTGGTAAAACGACAATCAATAGCAAAATAAATATAAAATCTAAAAATGGTTCCATGAGTAGGAATAGCAGCGAAGATGGTAGTTGTAGGAAAAAACAACAATCGGAAAATTCATCGTCGAAAAACACGTTGAAACGTTGTGGCAACGTTCGAGAAGGTAGAGGAAATGACGTCACGAAAATACGTTAAATTTTCTTTCTTTGGAGATTACCGTTAAATAATTTTATTTCAGGTGAAAATTCGCAAAAGAAAAATCGAAGCAGAGATAGTTCGTTAAGTTCGAGATGTTCGTCCAAACATTCGAAATTATCCAACAGGGGATCCGGGGATCATCATCATCAACATAATGATAATAAAAAAACAAAATCATCTTGTAAAAAAATTGATACGAGTAAAGAAGGTTCGTTAATTGATAACAAAAAAAAAAAATTTTCTATGAGTTTGTTTGTTTGTTAGACGCCCATCCATACCGCCATTTTTTTTTTTTCCAGATCTCAAATTGAGCGTTTCCGATATAGAAACGAGAATTCATGCCTTACAAAAAATTTTAGACGAGGGATTAAATTTTTAATTCTGACTAAACAATTAAAAACCTTGTAAATAATAATAATAATAATAATAATAATAATAATAATAATAATTCAATCATTTTTCCTCGGATTCGATTGATTTATGATATGGATTTGCAATGAGAATTCAAAAGTAATTAAAATAATTATTAAAAAAAAAAAAAAAAAAACTTACCGTGTTATTATCACAAATGAATTAAATAACAATAACGCACTTATTTAAACGTTAAATTTAAAACAAAAACGATTTTAAAATTAATTAAACGCGATTAATAAAAATTTATTTGAAATAAATGAATACTTTTATTCGATTTGTCAATTCAAATTTCACTGAAACATTCGAATTTCAAACGGTTATAAAACCGTCTTCTGCTTTTCGAAACTGCCAACCATTGAAAACTCGTAAAAAAAAACATATTGCCAACGTTTGAAATGTAAAATTTTTTTGATACTTTAATTTAACACTCATGTAAACGTAAGGTAAAAAATTATAATAAAAATTGTAAAATTTAAAAAAAAAAAAAATTTAATTTGAAAAGATTGTTTCGTTGAGATAACAATATGGCGAACACAACGGATAATAATAAAGTTAATAATAAAGAAGATTTTGTAGATCCTTGGAATGTCGTGAGTTCATCCGAAATTGGAATTGATTATAATAAACTTATCGGTATGTGTTTCATATGTTAATGAAAAATTTTGATAAAATTATATAAAATGTAATTGTTTTTCCAGAAAGATTCGGAAGTTCGAAAATCGACAATGATCTTCTTGAAAGATTTGAAAAAGTAACTGGAAAACCGGTACATTATTTACTTAGAAGAGGAATATTTTTTTCTCATAGGGACATGCATTCAATATTAAACGCATATGAAAGTGGAAAACCATTTTATTTGTATACAGGAAGAGGTCCATCATCTGGTTCTATGCATTTGGGTCATTTGATACCGTTCATATTCACAAAGTACATTCGAATATTTCATTTTGTTAAAAAACGATTGCAAAATCGAATGCAACATTCTCGATATTATTAAATTTTATTTATTTTTAGATGGTTGCAAGAAGTATTCAATGTGCCCTTAGTTATACAATTAACAGATGATGAAAAATTTCTATGGAAAGATTTAAAATTAGAAGAAGCTAATAAATTAGCTTATGAAAATGCCAAAGATATAATCGCTGTCGGATTCGATAGTGAAAAAACATTTATATTTTCAGATTTAGATTATTTAGGAAGTTGTTCTAATTTTTATAGAAACATTGTTAAAATTCAAAAAAGTGTTACTTTTAATCAAGTAAAAGGAATATTCGGATTCGGTGATAGTGATTGTATTGGAAAAATTGCTTTCCCCGCAATACAAGCCGCCCCATCTTTTTCCACATCTTTTCCTTTCATATTTAAAGATTCTAAAATACCTTGTCTCATACCTTGCGCCATTGATCAAGATCCTTATTTTAGAATGACAAGGGATGTAGCACCTAAATTAGGATTTACAAAACCTGCTTTGTTACATTCGACATTTTTTCCAGCTTTACAGGGTGCTAAAACTAAAATGTCTGCAAGCGATCCAAACTCATCGATATTTTTAACTGACACTCCGAAACAAATTAAAAATAAGGTAAGATGAACATTTTAATTAATTAATTAATTTTGTACTGATCAAATTTTTTATACAATTATACACATTTTTTTTTGATTCAACTTTAAGATAAACAAATATGCATTTTCTGGTGGACAAGCAACAATCGAAGAACACAGAGAATTTGGTGGAAATTGCGACATTGATATTTCCTATCAATATTTGACATTTTTCTTAGACGATGATGAAAAATTAATGGAAATAAAAAAAGATTATGCAAGCGGTGAATTGTTAACAGGAGAATTGAAAAAAATATTGATCAATGTTTTACAACCGATTGTACAAGAACATCAAGAGAGAAGATCAAAAGTAACTGATGAAATTGTTAAACAATTTATGACGATGAGACAATTAAAAACATCATTCACTTAACAATCTTTTCAAATTATTAATAGAATTGAATGTGATTGAATTTAAATGTTGTTGTGATTTGCTAAATTATTTTTTTTGCAATAAATTATTGATATGTTATACAAAATGTAAAACGAAATTATTAAAAATATTTTTGTAAAATGAAATTATTTTTTGTTTTTTATCATTATTATAATCATAATTATTTTAAATTAATTAAATTGAGTTAAATATATGTGAAACTTTACATAAGTGTTGTTAAAATAAAAAACTATTTATAAAATTAAATTATTAGTATTAATATTTTTTTTCACTTACCTTAATTCCGCCATTTTTTTTTCTTTCCTATAACTTTCGTGAGATGTTTGATTTACACTAACTGACGATTATAAATTTTACGTTTAAAAAAACCGACGTTAATTTATTTAAAAAACTATTTAAAACCGTTAAGAATTTTTGATAATTTGTTAAAAAAAAAAAAAAGGCTTACTATTATAATAAAAGCGGGAAAATATAATTAACAATATTGCGACAATCGCGCCTTTTCTTATTTTTTTTTTTTTTGTTAAAATTTCGACAAACGAATTTTTTGAAAAATATTTTAATTAAATTAGTTTTTTTTTTAAATATTAATATTAAAAATTTTCTTTTTTATTAAATACTTAACTTTTAATAAAAATTTTAAAGAAAAAAAATTAATTTTTATTTTCGATTAAACTAATTTAAACTGTCACGAATTTAAAACATTAAAAAAAAAAAAAATTACTAATTATAATAACATCACTCCTTATGAATATTTCACGATTGCTATTTTCGCGAAAGTGTCGCCAACTGTAAAGCAAAAAACTGTTTTAACAAATTAGTACGTATTTTTCTCAATAGATGGCGTGCAAGCAACATTTATTTTAAAAATTTTATTTTTAAATATCTTTTCCACAATTTCATCCGTTTTTCAAAAAAAAAAGAAAAAAAAATTTTAATAACGTACAAAAAAAAAGTTATGCAAACCAAAAAAACAAACAATTTATTATTATTATTATTATTAAATTCCTTTGATTTACCTCGAGGTGATTTTCCGTATAAAAAACAGGAATAAAATAAAATAAAAACATCTCTTGATATTATTATTATTTCATTTTATTTTTTTTTTCCAACTCCCCCGATCCCGACTCCGCTCCCCCCTCTTCCCCTTCCCGAGAAAAAAAAAAAAAAATTTAAAAATTTTTATACAACAATATAAAATAAATAAAAAGCAGACGAAAATATAATGTCGAAAAGACAAAAAAAAAAAAAATTCCATCCACGTTAAATTCGAATGCTCCGCTACCGAATATGTTTCATCTCCATTTATATATGATCACGTGACCGATTCAAAAAATTTGATTTTTCCAATGGATTTTCAATTTTTCTTTAAAATATTTCCGATTCGTTTTTAACGTTCGTTCGTCGCATAACTGCCAACAAGAAGAACAACAAAATAAAAAATTTTTTTTAAATATTAACGACTCTCCTCCCACTTCCGTTTCCTGAATTTCTTTCGTCACAAACCTTTCGTTGTTTTTAAATCTGAATATTGAAAAGGTTAGGACGACTCCTTTTCTTTCCAAAATTTTTTTTAAAATTCCTCATTTGATCACCGAAAAGTGAAATTCCGACGATTGGTACTCCTGCGTGTGTGGATTACCTGAAAATACATAAAAAAATTATTTTTGTTGTTGTTTCCGGTGTCGTGTAAACAGAAAAAAAAGAAAATAAATTCTCACGTAAAACATTAAATTGCGGAAACCGTTGAAGGATGATGACGTCATCGGTTTTTTTCTAAAAAAATTTTCTTCTTTCAATGTGAAAATATGGCGTCGGCGAAACTTTTTTTTTGATTCTTTCTTTTGCTTTGTGAGCATCTTTCCCGATTGTTGATCCCATCCTGATAACTATGGCTCCATTTGTTAATTTGTTTAAAAAATTTTTCTGAAAAGAGAGAGAGAAACAAATATTAACGAAACGATGATTAAAAAATTTTCGCTCGATGTGTTAAAGTAATTTTTTACCATAAAAAAAAAGAATGAAAAGGAATTGTGAAAGATAAAGGGGGAAGAGAGAGAGAGAGAGGAGAGAGAGGAAGACATAGAAAAAGACTAAAAAAAATAAAAAGTGAAACGGCTAGAGAGAGAGAGAGATACAGAGAAAGAAAAAAGAAACAAAATTAAAAGAGTTAAAAAAAAGTATAAAAAAAGATGGAGAAGGAGAGAAAGACTAAAAAAAAAGGAAGAAAGAAAGAGAGAGAGAGAGAGAGATGATTAAGAAATTGACTCGGCGTGTAAAAGAAATTTTTCACCTCAAAAAAAAAAATAAAAAGAAATTGTGAAAGATAAAGAGAGAGGCAGAGGGAGAGAGAGAAATACAAGGAGAAAAAAGAGAGAGAGAGTATAAGAAAAGAAAAAGAAAGAAAAAGAATGACGTAGAAAAAAAAAACTAAGAAAAATAAAAAGTGAGAGAAAGATGTAGACAATGAAAAAGGCAAACAAAATTACAAAAAAAAAAAGTAATAAAAAAATCGTGAAAGATAAAGAAGGAGAGAAAGACTAAGAAAGAGAGGAAGAGAGAGAGAAACGAAGTCACGAAATAACCGTAAAAAAAAAAAAAAATGGCGTAATGAAGAAAAGGACAAAGGTGAAAAAAAGTAAAACGTATCAAAAAGCTAAAACAGAAAGAGGGGGAGATATAAAGAGAGAGAAAGAGAGATAGAGGGAGAGAAAAACAAAGAGAGAGAGAGAGAGAGAGAGAGATAGGAAATTAAAAGCGAGACGCTTTTCGGCTCATTAAAATAAATCAAAAACAATTTATAAAAAAAAAAAAAAAACCCAAAGTGTGCGAACACACGAGGACGGACCACATAGAAAAAAAAAAAGGTTGGATCAATAAAAGCCATTAAGTAAGGAAAACCTTCGCAAATAAGGTTATTGCCACGACGACGACGACGACGACAACGAACACGACGATGGCGACGACGACAATTTCGACTTTAAAAAAAAAATTAAATTAAAACAACGACAATAATAATAATAATAATAATAATAATAATAATAATAATAATAATAATAATAATAATAATAATAATAATAATAATAATAATAATAATAATAATAATAATAACAATAACGATTATTATGATAATGATGATTAAAGTGTAAGCAACCGTAATTTTCATCGTCGTGGTTGTAACCACTTCCGATAACAATCGGATTTCACCGCCTTTTCGAATGACGTTACTTTTTTTTTTTTTTTTTGCATTTGTCGTGACGTAAGCAACCGTAGAAAAGCAAAGGGAAAAAGGAAAAAAGTCATTTCGTCTGAGTTGTCGTCACGGTTTTTTAAAAAAAAAATTTTTTTTATGCTTTCTCCCCCTCCCTCCCTCCCTCTCTCTCTTTTCATTCTCATCGTCTTTAAAAAAAAAAGGTTAAAATTGCTGCCGCTGCTGCTGTTGCTGCTGCTTTGTGTAACGTTTCACGGGGTTTTTAAAAAAAAAAAAATTTTTTTTTCATAGCATTCGCAGCATCGACCTCCACCTTTTTTTTTTTTTTTTCGTTTTTTCCCCGAAACGTACGATTTGAAAACAATTTCTTTTTTTCTTTTTGTCTTCTTCCACGACGTTCATCATCCTTTATTTGAAAAAAACAAAACAAAAGGTTTCGATTCGAAACGGATTCATTTTGTTTTTTTTTTTTTGTTTTCGTTTTAAAACATAGAGAAAGAAAAAAAAAATTTTACGCGATGAATCTTAGAAGACGACGACGACGACAACGACGATAATAATAATAATAATAATAATTTTCCATTGTGAAAAATAGTTTTTGAATCCGTTTTTTGTTTTCACCTATTTCAAAACTCATTTCTTAACTTTCCGACTTCCGGATTGAAATTAATTCTTTTTTGCAAACATTATTATTATCATTATCATCATTATTATTATCATTATTATTATTATTATTATTATTATCATTATTATTATTATTACTATTATTAATTCTTTCAATTATTTAATGATTTATTGAAAATCTTTTTTTAAATTTACCAACAAAATAAAACAAAAAAATTAATATTTTCTTCGCGCTCGTCTCTTTCTCTTTCTCTCCCTTTCTCTCTCTCTCTCTCTCATCTTTTTATCCGTTCCACCTTTCCGACTCGCAACAGGTAAACGTGATGATTAATTAAGGGGGGTAAGAGTGTGGGCGTGTGTGCGCGCGTGGGAGGTTTGCGTCATAGAAAATACAAAAAGAAAAAAAAACTTTTGGAGCCGTTAAAATTTTCAAAAATTAATAAATAATTTTGGGTTCGTGATAAATCGCGAGGATTTCAAATGCTTTCATCGCCGAAAGAGAGAGAGAGAGAGAGAGAGAGAGAGAGAGAGAGAGAAAGAGAGAGAGAGACCCGGCGGACGGACTCCATTTTGTTTTTTTTAAAACTTTTTCGCGAAATGTTTTACGCCACCACCAAGCATATAACGTTTTTTTTAATCATATCTCACTCTCTCCTCTTTCATCTTATCTTCGTTTGCCTGCCTGTATCTCTCTCTCTCTCTCTGTCTCCTCCCCCTCCCCCCTTCTCCCCCGGCAATTTATTCTTAAGTTTAACTTTATCACGCGAAATTTCACGCAAGTTATTTGTTTTAATAAGTTTTGTTTGCTTTCACCGAGTGTGCTAAGATATTTTTAAACACTTTTCAACTTTCACCCTCCGAATGTTATAAAAGTTTTCCTTTTCTTCCCTTCCTCTTCCCCCTCCTCCCTTTTGTTCTTCTATTAAACATATTCCCCCTCACCTCACCTCACACCTACTCGAAAATCATGCTCATTTTTCTCAAATTATTATTATTAGGACTACTGTTAACATAGTAAGGCAACATCGATTTTTTGTGTTTATTGATCGGTTACCCAATCAACGAAAATAATTTTAAAATTTAAAACGATGATGACGAAACTACTTCCGGTAAGTTTTTCCTCGCCTTAATTCATTTTCCGGTTTCTAAATAATTTGGAAAAAACGGTCTATTTCCCGCGATAAAACCGTTGACGAAAATTAAACGTCGCATTTTTTTTTTTTTCAAATCAGTTACCGACTTGTAGTTGCTAGTGACACGTCGATTTTCAACGTCGTGGGATTAACAATGTCGTGTCGCGAATTCAACCATCTCAAAATTAAGACAACCTTTCGTAAAAATCCACGTTCGGATCGAGTCGACATATGAGTCGGATTTTATATCCAATGGTTTGTTAAACGGTTTGAGCGGTATGGACCTGAACATGACGTAAGGTGCCCGATATTTCGCGACGAATCTTGAATAACAAAATCCGCGTCGAAGAATTCGGGATTCGAACGAATTTCGAATTTAAACAAATCCAAAAGATCCGGTATTAAATTTCACGGCGCGAAATCGAATTCCATTTCCGGTTATACATCGTTCACGTGATCTTATAATTTTCAAATTTTCCCGGTAGGAGGAAGGAAAAAACACGACACGACCGTGACGTTACGTTTTCTTTCGATCAACGATGACGTTATTATCCGTTTTTAACATTTGATAATGGTTCGAAACCGGAAATGGTGTCACAACTAATACGTTCACACAATCTTCCACGTTTAAAAACACTTCCAATACCAAAATTTTTCCAGGTATTCCTGGAAAAATGAAAAATGAAAAAGTTTATGTACAACACCGGTGATGGAAAATTTCTTTTTTTTTTTTTTCCTTTTTTTCTTATCCAACCATTTTACTTTTTTCCCTATGGCGATGAAATTTTTTTCTCTCTCTCTCTCTCCCCTCCTCTTTCTCTCTTTCTCTTCTAGAATTTATTTATATATATATATATTAAAAAAAAATCTGAAAGCTTTTCAAAACCTAAAATTAATATCTTAAAGGATTTCCGAAACTTTGCCTAGGCAAAAAAAACCCTATTTATCTCGAGTGTGTGTGTGGGTGTGCGTGTGCGTGTGTGGAACCTTATCGATTTCACCTTTTCTACGCATATTTCAAACGCAAAAAAAAAAAAAAAACGATTTTCACCTTAGACAGCCTCATCAAATTGATTTATTGTGGTTACAAAAAAATAAAAAATAAAAAACCTTTTCCACAACACCCTTTTTTTTTTTAAACATATTTAACAGGCGTTGAAAAAGAGGAAGAGAGAGAGAGAGAGAGAGAGAGAGAGAAAAGAGAAAGAGAGAGAGAAAGAGAGAAAGAAAAAGTTCGAGTGACTTAAAAAAAATTGAATTTCATTTTTTTCCGATTTTTTTTTTCCATGAAAAAAAAAAAAAAAATTTAAATAAGAAAAATATGGCTGGAAAAATAATAATAACAATTTCTTCTATCTCTCTCTACTTTCCAGAATTACGGAAATAATAATAATAATAATAATAATAAAGATAATTTGTTTGTTTTGTTTGAAACAAACAACCGTTTAATTATTCGTTAAATAAATAATCAGGTACGCGTTTTGTCACTGGAATGAAATGAAAAATTCTTTTAAATCAAAAAAAAAAAAATTTTTTTTTTTACTCCAGGAAGAGCATCATGATAATAATGATGATGATGATGATGATGATGATAATTCCCTTCAGTCAGTTGTTCCGAAACTCTGAGGTTGACCTTTTAATAATAAATTTTACAGTTTTGCAACGTTCCCGTGAAAATAAATATAAATATTTCGTTCTCGGGATGAGAGGGGATGAGAGAGAGAGAGAGAGAAAGAGAGAAAGAAAATTTCTCCGGAAAATATTTCGAATTAACAACAATCGTAGCGAAAAAAAATTTTCTCTTTTTTTTTTTTGTTAACGTTTTGTTTATTTTTCTCTTGTCGGTTTTCCTGTCGGTTGTTTCGTTTCGTTTTGCGAATTTGTGATTTAAATAATTTTTTTTCTCTTTTCTTCTCCCCCCCTCTCTCCCCCTTTCTCTTTTTCATTCGATTTTGTTTTGTTTTCGAGTTGATTCAGAATTAAAAAAACAAGGAAATAAATAACCCCAAAAATTATTATTATTATTATTATTATAATTCGGAAACAACTTTAATAAGGTATTACAAAATTTTTATAATAAACTAAAAAAACTGAAAAAAAAATAAACCAAACCGGAAAAATATTTTCCGTTAAATTATTTCCGGTTAAAATTTTCCGGTTTGCGATTGTCATTTTTCCAATTTTTTCTTTCCCTTTCCCTTCCCTTTTCCTTTTTCTTTCCCAATTTTTTTTTTTAAATATCTTATTATTTCATTACGTTTATTTCCGTTCAACAAATTTACATTTAAATTTAAAAAAAAAAAAGGGCGGGAAAATTTAAAAAAAAACCGTTAAAAAAAAAAAATTGTTTCTGCCACGTTTGCGAAATCCCTCGTCATTCGTTTTCTGTTAATATCGAAAATTAATTTTTTTTTTTTTTTAGAAACATTTTTTTCTAGCTTCTTCGAATCAGAAACAAAAAAAAAAGCTTTAAGGAAAACGAAAATAATAATAATAATAATAATAATAATAATAATAATAATAATAATAATAATAATAATAATAAAAAAAAAAACAGAAACAATTTATTTAAAAACTTTAGAATAAAGTTTTCTTTTTTTTTTTTTTTTTTTGCAAAAATGTTAGAAAACTTAACTTGTTTTTTTTTTTTCCATAGAGAAGAAAACAAAAACACATTAAAAAAAATTTTTTTTTTTTGTTTTCCTTTCCAACTTTATCCGGGATGGAAAACAAGGAGGTAAATAAAAAAGAAAACGAAAAAAAAAAAAATTAAAAAAAAAACAATTTTAAAAATAAAAATAAAAAAAAGAGAGAAAGAGAGAATGAGGGAATGAATGAATGAGTGTATGAATGAATGAATGAAAAAGTTTTTAAAATTGAATTTTCAAAACTTTAAGCGAGGAAAAAAAAAGTAATTTAATATAAAATAATGTCTTGAAGTCAACACTTGTAATTATGTATAAATTACATTTAATAACAAAAAAATAATCTCGAAAGAATCTCGACGGGAAAACTTATATGTGCGCCATATTACTTACAACTAAAAAACTCGTACAAAAAAAAAAAAAAACTTAAAATGAATTTCAATTAAAAACTGGAAGATGAGAGAGAGAGAGAAAAGTAAAAAAGAAAAACAAAAGTAAAGAAAATGGCGGTGCTCAACGCTGTTGTTGTTGTTCGGATCGAAATCACCGAGAATTTATAAAAATTCCGAGAAAAAAAAATGGCGACGAATAGCAAACAAAAAAAATTTCCGTTAAAGAATATTTAAAACAAACGATCGAAACAATCAATATTTTCTTCTCATAATACGCACTCGTTCAAATCATTTTTTCTTTTTTTTTTTTTTCATTACAAATCAACGCGAGATAATATTGAAAATAAAAAACGTGGCAGCAAAACTCGACGAATCTACGTGCACGTTAAAAAAAAAAAAAAAACTTTTTACATATTTTAATAAAAACCAATGATGAAATCTTAAATCCGCGACGTCTAGGCATCGTCTACGTATAATTCGTCTGCAGCTAGCAGAAGACAATTTGAAAAAAAAAAATCGATTATTTTCGTTCGATTCGATATTTATCGATTATTTCCGGTTAAATGAAAATTTTTCTCATCAGCGTCAATGCGATTAACCTTTTTTTTTACGAACAGCGCATGCGCGACCGCCATTGCGAAAAATTCTGTCGAATCAAAAAATTCGTTCCGGAACGTGAAGTTTTGAAAAGAAAAAAAATTTCAAAACTTACGAATTAAATTTTCCCGCCTTTTTTTAAAAAATCGACGCGAAATTTTCCAAAGACTCGCGAAACATAAAATGTATTTCTCGAGTGTTATAATAAATATTTATACGTTCGTCTTCTATCATTGAACTAATTACGTTTCGCGCATGCGCAATCAAAAAAATTTTTTTTTTATTATCATTTACTTGCGCAAACGATTTCTTCCGTCTCGACATGTTTCCGTTTCGTTTTTTTTTTTTACGTGAACCTTTCACCTCATTTTCACATTCCCCCCCCCGTCCCTCCCCCCATCTCCTCCTGTCAATCTAATCGCAGATAAAAACAATCACATCAACGACTTTTTTTTTTTTTTAATTTTTAATTAAACTTCTCCTTTTTATAAAATTCATTTGACAGACGAAAAAAAAAAAAAAATGAACGGGGGGCCTCATTTAATCAAAAGAAAATTTTTCATTTCATTAAATAAGGCCCCCTTTGTATAAAACAAAACAAAAATTGTCGTTTGTGTGTTTCACTTTTTACTTTTTTTTTTTTTTTTATAGACAATCGGAAAATTTTCAGGTCTTTTAACAAAAAAAAAAAAAAGAAAAAGTCAATAAATAATAATAATGATAAAAGAGAAAGAGAGAGGAGGAGGGAGAGAGAGAAAAAAAAGAAAAACTTTTACCGTGCCATCCGAATCAATGGAAAACTTTTTTTTTTTTTTTTTTTACTGGAGAAAGATTTAAAACTTGTTAAGTCTAACAAGAAAATTTTTAAAGTTTTCTTTTTTTTTTTTTTCTTTTTTTTTATTTGTAATTTGTCAAACCGAATTCGATAACTTCCCCCCCCCCTCCTCTTCCCTTTTTCAAAATTCTAAAAGTTTTTTTTTCTCCCGCCGCACGGGAAGAAAAAAAAGAGACGATAGCGGAGGCTGTGAAATTCAAAGCCTCCGTGAATTTTCCGGGTATATCAAATGACTTTTAGTACTTACCGTTAAAATCCATTGATTTCATTCGGTTGTTTGTTTGTTGCTGTTGCTGTTGTTGTCATCTTCGTGATTTCACACTTTTGTACAAACACTTTTTTTTTTATTATCATTATTCTTAATTATTATTATTATTATTATTTTTTTTTTTATTACTACTACACTGCACTCTCTTTGTGTCTGACCAAACGTGGCGTTTGAGTTTCCGCATTTTGATGTCTTAATTTCGAAGGCAACGTTGCATTATACACTCTAGTCCTGTCTGTCGTGTGCTGACCACCGACAACTTGTAAATTTTCAGGTATAGTCGCCAGGAGCGTTTCCGGATTTTGTTTGAGCAATATGCACGGATTTAACGAAACGTTTTCGGTTCCGGTTCCTCCGGGATTTGAATGATTTTTGGACGGCGCGAGTACGGCTGGATCTATTGCCAAAGTCGTTAAAACAATCGGATTTTGATGGATGTTCGGATCGACCAAAACCATGTTTTGTTTGTTTAAAACGATGTTGTATTGAGATTGTGAAACGACCTGAGGACCGGGACTTTGTTGATCTCCCGGCCATAGAATTTGATGTGTCCACTGATCCAACGGTGCCGGAATTTCGTACACTAAATTACCCTGTACGAAAAAATAATAATAATAATAAAATTAAAAAAAAAAACGTTACAAAGGAAGTAGAGAAAAAGATGATTGGAAACAAAATGGCGGAAGAAAAGAACACACGAACCAAAAAAAAAATAGAGATCTAGTTAGAGAGATAGAGAATAGTTAGATCGTCGTAAATAATAATAATATTTTTTCGGGTCGTCAAAATCTGGGAAGTTGAGGGGGGGTGGAAAAGGGAGATTTAAAACGTGAAATATATAAATATATATTTTTTTGCTGATTTTGAAAAAAAAAAAAAAAAGAGGAGAAAGTTTAGGAAAAAAAAAGGACTGGAAAAAAAGTAAAAAAGAAAAAAAAATGAAAGTGGACGGAGAAAAAGGGTGGGAGGGGAGAAGGAGGGAGGAGGAGGGAGAGGGAGGGAGGGGAGGAGAGTAAAAAAAAATTTTTTTTCGGGTTTTACATTTACACGAAATGGAAAAAATGACGAGAACCGCTATGGCGGGTGAAAATTTTCTCGCGTAACTTTTCCTTTGTTCCATTTGAATAAATTTTCTTCCGTTGTGAAAATTTTCATCGCCGCCACCACCACCACCACCACCGCCACCATTGGGTGAAAATTCCTTTTGCGCTCCGCAAACCTCAAAATATTTATTTTAACAAAACTAAATAAAATTTATACAAAAAATTAAAAAAATTTTTTTTTCCCGATGAATATTTAAACGTGCGTTTATTTATTTATTTAATTGAATACACACGCCCCCCCCCCCAAAAAAAAAAATAATAATTTTTACGCAACGTTGCCAACATTAACAAAAAAAAAATTAACGAGGCACGCAAAATTTGATGAAATGCTGTCGATTCTCGGATATAAGAGGAAAAAAAATGTAAATGAATGAAAAAACTTTTTTACCTTCGGATCTGGAGATGTTTGAAAATTTTGACATTGACTATATTGATTTGTTTTCTGCTGTTGCTGCTGTTGCTGGAGCGGCGGCATCGTCGGCAGCGGCACATGACCTTCCGAATTATTTTTCCAATTTCTAATCGAATCACCGTCTACTAAATCACTTAAACTTTCATGTTCCAAATCTGAAAAAAAAACTATCGACGTGGAAGAAGAAAAAATAACAAAAAAAACGTTCGATCAAATTACACGTCTCAAATTATTTACAATTTTTCACCACGAGAGGTCGCAACGAACGAAAAAATTTATGACGTAATTAAAAAGGGGTAAGGGGGGGAAAAAAAAAATTTGTTTCCTTTTTCTTTGTTGTTGTGTAAAACAAACACACACAAATGAATAAAACAAAACAAAACAAAAAGCAGACGAAAAAAGAAAAAGAAAAAGAAAAAGCAGACGTCGATTGTATAGAGATTATACGGGTCCGTGATCTCCTGTCGAATGTTTTTCTTTTTTTAGAAAGAAAGAAAATAAAAAACTTACCGTTTGTTAAAGGTATTACGTCGGGATTTCTTTCGTCCATGTCTGTGGATTCATCATTTCCGTAATTTTTCGACAGGGTTTTACTACTCGCAACGCTTTCCGTTAATTTCGTTGGATCTTCCGTCGATTCCGTTCGACTGTTGGAATGTTGCGTGTTATCATCATCGGAATCGCAACAGCAAACGATCGTTGCACCTTTGACCCTGAGTAATAGTATCAATAAAATGGCTCCGATGCAAACGATGGAAATCCCACCGATTCCCAACCAAATCATAGGATTTATGTTTGATAGAAAATTCGATTTCGGAACAGGCACTGAAAGAAGAGGAGGGGGGAGAAAAAATTTTCATTTTTATTACGTGTGTTTCCGGTAGCAAAGGATAACATAAAACTTACTCGGCATGTTTCTTCGATGTTCTTGATGTGTGGGTTGTAGAGTCGTGACTTTAACAGGCACTCCAGTATTACTTTTACCTTTGTTATTACTCGAGTAAATGTTTAAAAAATATGTTTGACCGGGTTCCAAACTTCCGACGGAAAATTCAGGTACGAGTTTTCTCGTTATGTTCACGATGAGTCTTCCGGGTTTCGAATCGTCCGTCGAAGTGGAACCGTCGAAAACTTCCAAAGTGAATTCTTGCGGTAATCCACCGTCGAATCCCTTGTGACACGTCACGTGCAACGTCGTTTGAGTTTTGTTTTTTAAATTACAATTTTTTGGGGGATCGGGTTTACCCGCTGGCACGATGTGATAAACGCACGGAACGACTTGGGGCCCCAATTCGTTTCTGCCCCAGCACAAAAGAGTTCCGTAACCCTGTTCGTTCGTCGGCGAATACGTTGCTACACTTTTACCACCTTGTTCAATAGTCCGAAAATCCACGTCTTTCGATTTAACAACGGAATTATTAAACGTCCAACGAAACAAACTCGCCGAGGGATTCGAATCCACTTCGCACGTGACGGTAACCATTTCGTTTCTTGCCGCACCATATATCCTCTGCTGACCCGGCCTGCACTGAGGTTCATCTGCATGTAAAAAAAAAATTATTGAAAATTCGTACGCCACCCCCTTTACTCCCCCCATACATACCCCTCGCAACCCCCTCACGCATCCCTCACGCAGCGTTTTAATTTCAAAAAAAAATTATTTCTTCATCTTTCACTCATCTTAATTTTTGCGACAAAAAAATTTTTTTTTTTTTTGAATGAAAACTTTAATAATTTTTTTTTTTTTTCTTGAAAAAAAAAAAGAAAAAAAAAATCTACGAGATTAACTAAGTCTAGAATTTAATTTTTCCCATCGAGCTTTAATCTTTTTATTATAAAAAAAAAAAAAAATATGGCGGATAAAAAAAAACCTTTTCAAAATGTACAACTCGAAAAACTTTCTTTCATTTTTTTTTTCTTTTTTCTTCTTCTTCATCTTTTTTCTCCCCTCCCTCCCACACTCCCTCTTCCACGCCCACCCCCCCTTTTTTTTTTTTTCATTTCGGGTGGGTGAAAGTGAGAGAGAGAGAGAAAACTTATTAAAGTTTTTTAATTAGGCGAAAAACGAAAAAAAAAAAAAAGAAAATCTTTTTTATTAATAATGAATTATTTTTGACCCTATATCGGAAAAGTAAAAAAAAAAAAAAATGATTTTTTCCCCCTGTTTTTTCTTTTTTTTTTCTTTAATAATAATAATAATAATACTAATAAGAATTTTCTTTTTATTTAAATTAATAATAATAATAATAATAATCCATCCTATTGTAATAAAAGCAAAAAATTTAATTATTTAATTATTATACTTTTAAATTAAAATTTTATTATTAAATTTTTTTTTTTTACACGGTCGGATGACTAACGTAGTAGTTTCGGTGGGATAAAAACAAAAAAACGATTAATCGATCGATAACGACAAACAAATCAAATTAATTGTTTTTTTTTTTTTTTATACACAAACAAACGCGTTTGTTTTGTCTTTTTCCCCCTCCCCCGTCTGTCGCGTTTTATAAAAAAAAAATCGTTTAATTTTTTTTTTTTAAAGTGACAAATTAAAAAAAAATTTTAACGAATTTCCTTTTACCCCTTCCTTTTCTTTCCCCTTTATTCCCCTTCTCCCTTCCCTCCCTTCCCCTTTATCCCCCTTCTCTCTCTCTGTCTTGAAGGAAAAAAACAACCGGAAACAAACCATTTAAAAAAAAAATAAAGAAAAAAAATTATTTAATTAATTTAAAACGTAATTAACGATATTATTATTATTATTATTATTATTATTATTATTATTATTATTATTATTATTATTATTATTATTATTTGTTTTGATTATTATTTGACGGATGTAATAATAAAACCTTCATCTTGTTTTTTTTTTTTTTTACAAACTTTTTACAAACTTGCATAAAATTTTGTTTCAAAACTTTTTTTCTTTTTTTTTTGTGATAAACAAAACAAAATCCCAGACGAAAAATATATATATAAAACGACCACGTCTTCATTTTTCGTTTGTTTTTCCGTCGTCGTCATGTTTTTTTACTCTATGACTAAGTTCGTTAAACGTTTATGGAAACGTCGCATAATATTATCATCATTATCATCATCATTATTATTATCAGTTTTTTTTTTTTTATTAAATAACTTTTACGAATTTAATTTTTTTTCTTCCTCTCCCCTGTCCCCCTTCCCTCCCCCCGCAGACTCTTCCTTTTTTAAAAATTCAATTTTTTTTTTTTCCCTCCCCCCGATTCCTCATTTTTTTTCTTCTGCCACGATATCCGACCGAATTATTATTAAACCGAATGAATAATACGGAATTAAAAATAATTCAATTAATTTAAAAAAAAAAAAAAAAAAAAGAAAAAAAAGTTCGGTTGGAGAACGAGGAGAGAGAGAGAGAAAGGGGAGAAAGAGAGAGAAAAGAATGAGGTCAAAGGTCAAATTATTTATCATTTTATTTTTTCAGACGGAAAAATATGAAAATAAAAATAAAAATAAAATGAATAGCGGAGAAGAAAAACATGAAAACCTTAATTGGCGCCGATTATAAAAAAAAAATTTTTTGTCATTTTGATGAAAAAATCAATCGAAGTAGAATAAGACAAAAAGAAAAACAAGAGAAAAAGAAAATAAAAAAAAAATAAATGAGGAGAAGGATAAGAAAACAAAAAGAAATTAAAATTTTCGTACGAATCATTAAATTCCGCCATGTTTAATTTTTCTTTTTTTTTTTGTTTCTTTTCGTCTGGAAGTAAATCGAAACACGTGATGAATTTTCCAGGATCGGAATTAATTTTTATTTTTAAAATAAATAAATAAGTCATCCGACATTTTTAAATTTCTCTCCCTCTCTCTCTCTCTCTCTCTCTCCCTCTCTCTCTCTCTCTCTCTCTCTCTCTCTCTCTCTCTCTCTTAAATCTTAATTCAAAGAAACGAACGGGAGCCATTTTTTTTTTTTTTTAACGGAAATTTCAACGGATTAAAATTCGACGATTTAATTTCACCCTCCTCCTCCTTCTCTTTCTCTTTCTCTCCTCCTCCTCATCGCCCTTCTCTCCCCGACCCCACCCCCTCTTTTCCCCTTCATCTCCAGTCAATTAATTCATTCGATAAAGAAATAATAAAAAATATCGATCATGATGAAGGAACGACTTTGATTATTCGTGATTTCCGTTTCCTTTTTTTTTTTTTTTTTATCAAAAGATTCGACTTCTCGAATTTTTTCTTTTTTTTTTTTTGGATAAAAATTTTAAAGCGCGAAAAATTTAAAAAAAAAAAAATTCAGCCGTGTCAGCAGATAAAAAATTGGCGCGAGGCAGACTTTTTTTTTATTTAAAGAAAATCACGTTTGTTTGATTTTTCCTCATTGTTTATTATTATTATTATTATTATTATTAACTATTATTATTATCATCATCTATGTCTTTTAATATTATTATTATTATTATTACGTATTTCTATTACGTTGTCATTTACATGTACAAAATTGTTTATTTACTCTATGCAATTTAATTTTTTCCCTTTTTGTGAAATGTCATTCGTTTCAACGGTTAGGTCATTATTATTATTATTATAATCATCATCATTATTATCATTATTATTATTACAATTATTATTATTATTATTATTATTATTATTATTATTATAATCATTATTTAAATTAAAATAATTTATAACAGGTAAATAAATTATTTTATTTCTCTTTTTTTTTTTTTTTTTTTTACTTTTTTTTGCTTTTTTTACTTTTTTCTTTCTTCATTTTCATTTTTAACAAAGGTTTTTAATTATTATTATTATTTTTTATTTTTTGTTCTTAATGACGTTTTCAAAGGTTTTCCCTTTGATTTTTTTCTCTTTTTTTTTGACTTTTATTTCTTTTCATTTCATTTTTTTTTGTCAAGACTAATAATTAAAATTTTTTTTAAATGACAACAACAAAATACAATTTATTTCGGGAGCAAAAAAAAAAAAAAAAAACAGAAAAGAAATCATGTCGACCTTTTTCCAGATTATTATTATTATTTTTTTTTTATTTAAGGTTTTCTTTTTTCCAATTTTCTTTTTCTCTTTTCCTCTCTCTCTTTCTACATCCCTTCTTCTTCCTCTCTCTCTTTCTCTTTCTCTTCCCCTCTCTCTTTCTCTTTCTCTTCCTCTCTCTCTTTCTTTTCTTTTCCTTTCTCTCTCTCCTGCTCTTCCTCTTTCTCCCCCCTTTCTCTCTCTGTCTCTCTCTCTCTCTCCCTCTTTCTTTTTCTCTCTCTTCCCCTTTCTCTCTTGTCCGAAAAACGAAAAAACTCGAAAATTTTCAATTTTATTATTATTATTATTATTATTATTATTATTAAATCCACTTCTCCTTAGTTATGACGTCATAGAAAAAATAACGTAAACATTATTCGATCTTTTTACTTTTCTTTTTTTTTTTTTTTTTCTTTTTCGAACAAAAATAAATAATAATAATAATAAAACAACAACAACAACAAGAAAATTAACGGATGTTTTAAAAACGTAAGAGGAGAAGTGGGAGAAGGGGAAGGAGGAGTAGGAGGAGGTCAAAAGGTTAAATAAGAACGGGTAAAGATACTTAAAATAATTTTAATAACGACCCTAAACCTTTTTGAAAGATTTAATTTCGAGTTAAAAGAGAAAAAAAAAAAAAAAAAAAAAACTTCAAGTCTGCTGTTAAATTATCTCATCATTTCGATTGTTGTTGTTGTTGTTTAAAAAAAAAAGGGAGGGAAATTTTTTCTTTTTAAAAAGTAAAAAACCCGTGAAAATAATTAAATTTCCCGCGTTTTTCATTTTCCTTCTTTTCTTTTCTTTTTTTTTTGCAAAAGTTAAAACAAAAATATATATATATATATATATATCAAATTCACTTCACGTTATTTTTTTTTTTATTTTCTTTCAAGTGCTTTTAATAATAATAATAATAATAATAATAATAATAATAATAATAATAATAATTTTTAAACCTTTAAAATTGTGATTGTTCTTCCGTAACCACCACCACCACCACCATCACCATCACAACCGTTGTAACATTTGCACGATTCAATTTTTCTTTTTTTTTTTTTTTCAATTAAAAAATACAAAGAAAAAAGAAAAAGAAAAAAAAAAGAGAAAGAGAAAAAAAAGAAAGAAAATAAAAGAAGAAAAAAGAAAAAAAATAAAAAATAGAAAAAAAAAAAAAAAAAAATTTTTTTCCGAACCTAATTTTTTTTTTATTATTAAATCCTTTTTCTTTTTTTTTCCGGAAAAAAGAAAAAAAGAGTGAATTAGTTTTTCTTTTCTAAACCTTCTCTTCTACTTCTACTACTTTTTTTTCATTCGTGAGTTGAAGAGGAGAAGAAAAGAAAAGAAAAGAAAAGAAAAGAAAAAAATGAAATAAAAGTTTTTTTTTTTTTTTGTTCTTGTAGAGTACCTTTAAAAAGTTTGCATTTAAAAAAGTCTTTGAAGGATTTATATACGATATTCTCGAGCTTTCCACCTTTTTTACCGCACTTTATTATTATTATTATTATTATTATTATCATTGTAATTTCCTTCTTTTTTTTCACTTGTACGGAAAAAAAAATATAATAAAAAATGCTTTTGAATTTTTCCGCTTTTTTTTTTTTCAAAAGTTTAATTTTTTATCTTTTTTTTTTTTTTTTTCGTTTGTTTGTTCTAGTCGTTATTTTTTCGTTTTCAACCGTAAATAAATTTTATTTTGCGATTAAATAATAATAATAATAATTAGGTCGTTAACGCGCCCTTTTTTTTAAAAAAAAAAAAAAAAAAAAAAAAAAAAGTAAAGGGGGGGAGAGAGCTTGTATGTCTAATTTCCCCTAAAAATTTTTTGGGTTCCCGTTGGAAAAAAAAAAAATTTATTTTTATTTTTATTTTTTTTTTACGTTTAAAAAAAAAAAAAAAAAAAACGGGGCCGGGGTTAATTTTTTAAATAAAAAAAAAAAAAAAAAAAAAAAAAAAACTTTTATTTATCTACGATCACGTAACCGAAATTTAATCATAGATAATAAAAACAAAACAAAACAAAATTCTCGACTGTCATTGGTCCGTCGTAAATGTGACGTCATCGGAAAAGCTTCCAATTTTTAATGGTTTTAATAATCAACGACTTTTTGTTGTTGTTGTTGTTCTTTCTTTTAAACTCATTAAAGAAGATTTTTTTTTTTTTTGGGTCACGTGCATCGCGTACTTGCGTTTTATTTCTTTTTTTCTTTTTCCGAACATGCAAACCTCGTGCGTTTTACGTTTAAAGTACAAGAGAGAAAAAGAGAGAGAGAGAGAGAGAGAGAAAGAAAACACAACGATTTTGAAAATTTTCCATTTTTTCTTTTTCCACTTCCTTTACCTCTTCTGCGAACTTTTTAAATTAAGCTCATTAAGCAATAAATAATTAGCGAACTGTGCAAAATTTAATTTTCCCCTTCCACCACCCCGTTTCCCGATTTTCCAAACTTTTTTACTACTACTACTATTATTATTAGCAACGGGGGGGATGGGAAAAAAATAAATATGTATACAACGTATCTCTCGTCTCGTTTCGACGTCGTTCATTATTTATTTAACTGCCAGGTTTTCTACCTTAAAGCAAAATATTTACCCACCCTTTTACCAATCTGTCAAACTCACCCCCACCCTTAAAAAAAAAATATCATGAATCACATCTCGATCGATTTTTTATAAACATATATTTGAACGTTTAATCGATTTATTGCTCATCCGATCCATTTCCGTTGGTAACTATTAATTTTCCATTTATTTAAAAAAAAAAAAATTTTTTTACCCCACGCTCCACCCCACGTGTCACCTAACGCGTCACGACAAATAATTAAGTAAATAATTAAAAAATTTCACGGTGTTGGGGGGGGGGAAAGAAAAAGTTTATGGAGTCAGTTATGTGACACGTCATAATCGTCAACTTTTCTGTTTTTTATTCACTTCACTAACGGTAATAAAAAAAAAAAAAAAAAAAAATTAACCACTTTTCATTCAACGACGATCGTTATTCAGAGAGAGAGAGAGAGAGAGAGTAATAAAAAATAAATTTTTTTTTTTTTCCCCCCCCATCCAAAGGTCATTGAAACACTTTAAACTTTTTTTTTGTTTTGTTTCTTTTTTTTGCGGTAAAAAATAAAAGGATAAAAAAGTAATAATAATAATAATAATAATAATAATAATAATAATAATAATAATAATAGTAATAATAATAATAATAAAAGGAAACATCACCTGAAAAAACAGCACTCGAACAATTTTTTTTTTGCGCGCGCCAGAACGAGAATAAAACATCAAGTCACATAACGGTAATAACAATAATGGAAAAAGAAACCATTAACTCTCTTATCTAATAGAAATATGAAAAGAAGAACAAAATAAAGAAAGAAAAAGAAAAGAAAAATGATGATGATGATAATAATAATACACGGTTGCAAACTTTTGAAAAAGAAAAATTGATTTCGTTTGTTTTAAGTGTACTACTAACAACTATTACTTACATTTAACGTCTAATAAAAATGAATTACTTTCGGCGGAACCTTCGGAATTTGATGCCGAACACGTGTAAATACCCGTGTTGTACCTGGAAACCGACTGGAGAACCAATGTTTGATTTGCTATTATCGTTCCAGCGGTTGCGTTGTTCGTTAAATTTTTACCCTGGAAAAAATAATTAAAATCAACGGATTAATATTGGAAATTAAAAAAAAAAAAAAATTCCTCAGACGATTTCGTGTGACGTATTCGTGACGTAGTCGTTACGTCATGAAAAATTTGAAATTTTCTTGCATATTCTCGCATTTTCCACGAATTTTCTTCTTCTTCTTCTTCGAGTGATTCTTTTACGGGGAAAAATCTCGAAGGATCCAAAACAATTATTCTTTTCTTTATTCTCAACATTAATTTGTTTATATCTCTCGGGAGTTGAAATAATTTATATGATGATTTCCCACGTCATTTTGTTTTAAATTTTCTTTTTTTTTTCCTTTGATAAAAAAAAAAAGGAAAAAAGAAAAAGGAGGAAGAAAATAAATCGTGTGACGAGATGGGGGGAGGGAAAAAAAATTGCTCCGGGTCAAAATCGTTTGCCAAAAAAAAAAAAATTTTGTTGGGAAAAACCTTTCTCGATATTTTCCAAAGATTTTACTAAAAAAAAAAAAAATTTTCATTTTCCTTGAGAGAGTGTGGTAGTTTTTCCCAAAACACAATATAAGGTCAGAGAAATTTAAATGACTTGAGGAAAATTTTTGATAACCGTCGTCAATTCGAATTTTCCCCCCTACTCCCTCCCACAAAAAAAAAAATTGTTATGAAAACGTCGAGAAAAGTCGTAGGAAAACTTTTTTGTGACCGTTACGATGACCGAAACAAAACAATTTTTCCTTTTTAAATAAAATTTTACCTAAAGTTTTTTAGTACCTGCATAATTATTTTCTTTTCCTTTTCCATTTCCTTTTTCTTTTTTTTTTCTCCAGAAATTCGTTGTGAAACACGTTTTAAATGACCAAAAGATAAAATTATTCAGTCAATCGAAAATGCGGAAACTGAAATTTTAATTACGTTTACCCTTTTTAACAAAAGAAAATTATTCGAATAGTAAGAAATAAATTTTAATTTTTTGTTTTTCCCGCCATTTTCTCTCTCTCTCTCTCTCTCCTAATTTTTTTTTTAAACCTTTTTTTGTTGTGTGCAGTTTAGAAAAAGTAAAAAAAAAAAACGAGATTTTTTTTTTTGCGTTATTAATATCAAATCGATTAATCCATCTCATCGTCAGGTTTGCGAATCGGGGGATAATCGGGGGAGAGAGAGAGGGGGGGGAAATAAATTTTAAAATAAAAATGAAAAGGTTAAGAAAAATTAATAATAATAATACTAGTCCATAGAATAAAAAAACGTTAATTGAAGGTTTAGATTAAGGATTAATTTAAGCTCGTTAAAAAGGGGAGGGGGGCGGAGGCGGAAATAAAAATTTTTTTTTCCCGGGTGTAAATTTTCCGATCCAGGTTTTTTCCCTTTTTGTGAAAAAAAAGAAATCCAATCAAACTAATTTATTTTCACTCCC